CGCAACTGCATGTAACAGTTACTTTTTCGCCAATGTGCAACGGAAGAAAAGGATAAGTTAGAGAGGAAGGACCATTCCATGAAAAGTTACATCGCGCTGAAAATGCATCAGTAAAAAGAAAATTTGAAATACAAAGTACATAGGATAAAAACAACTACTCTCTTGTGAGTGTTTAAATCTACCCTCTTCCCATAAAGATCATTCTGACATATTTTACTTTCAAAAATGAAAATTTCAAAACTTCAACTAAAACATTCGAAGTGTGGAATTCCAAATTTTTGGTAAAACGTAAAACGTTCAAAATCTTCACAACTTTCGAAGCTTCTAATAACTAACCAATTTTCTTTTCCAGCATAGTAATCTTCGGGCACTTTAAATCACTTTGTCATAATAACATTAGCAATCTTTTCAGCAGACATCTTATTGCCGAAAAAAACTTGATTAACGGCAACTGACATCATGATGCATTAAAGATCGATCAATACTTATTAAAAGTTTTATATTTTAACTTTCGAGGTTTGATTTTTCAAGTCTTTTGGAATCATTACCTCAGTTCCCCGCTCCCTAGATTTTATTGTTTCAGCTCTTTTTTTGTATTACTGTCGTGTTCCCAATGTATCATTTCGCCAGATTTTATTAACATTGTTTTAATATACACTTATAAACTATTCTTTCTCCATTCAGGAACTAATAGGAAGGTAGTATACAGTGGAGAAAGAAAATCTGTAAGCACGAGTTATCTTCCTGTACGCATATGAAATTCTAATAAAAGGTGAGAAGTATATACTAATCCACAAATTTCATCTTTAGAAACTGTTCAGTGGAGTGCTAGATAGGAGGCGAATTGACGCATTTGACCCACAATTATAAATCTGAATATGAAGCAACAAAGAAAACTTCCAGAAACTCGAATACATGGGAGTGTACGCCAACCGCTACAAATTGACAAAGGATCCTTCCAAGTCTCGCTGTTGTCTATTGCAGCTGTTAGTGATAAGTGTTTCGACTTCAGGTCACTTGGGGGAGTGAATTAAAAAGAGAAATGTTTTGCGTCGAAGCATAATGTTGAATCCATCCGTCGATTAGACTTCGACATAAACTATATGATTGATAATTATCAAGAGATACTTGCAAACATCAAAAACGAGTAATTACAGGAGAAAACTGAAGTGGTGATAGTGGACAATAATAAGCTCATATTAACGAATAACCATTTTGCGGTGTCAATGTAGAGCAATGTAGTGAATTGTTGTGAATGATATTTGGCATTTGGCGAAAGAAGGAATCAAAAGTCCAACTCTGCAAGTAATCACCGCCAAGGGATTTTGGATATTATAAGCTAGATATTGGAGGATCTTAAGGTAAAATTGAGTTCTCTATTATATGCGAAATTCCATAAATGTATAATGCAGTATTCGCTTCAATTGTGTAATGAAATTTAATTTTACATTACAATCATTGTTTTAATGAAATTTATTTTACATACAATCATTTGTTTTAAATTATTTAACACCAAATTATTTAACCTCAATCATTTGTTTTAAAATGTATGTGTGATGCTTTCCTGCAATCATCTTAATTCGCATGATTCATCAACACTTAATGTTGTATCAGATGTTATATGGAATTCCGGAGATTTTCATTTTGCAAAGAATTTCATTTTATTTAAATATCACAATTTGTTTTTTAATGCATCGGGAACTGCTAACAAAATGATCAATTCTAGGAAAAATGAGGTTTTATATCCATCTTTTTGTCGGTTCCCAAATCTGTCATATTAACTGTCTTCGGTTTATAACAGCGCTACAAAGACTTGCCAGCAGGAAGTAAGCAGCTCCTATTTTCAAAGCTTGCAGCCAATCTTCCGGAAATAAATATTTACAGTTTTGTTTTGTCCTCTTCCTTTTTTTCTTAGTCCGAAGCAGAGATCGTCTAATGTAGAAATTATAACAGAAATTACCGATTTAATTGAAAGACATATAAAAGTTGAGAAAAAGGAATGCTAAATGGAACAAACTTTTGTCCTCATTAAACACAGAAGATAAAATGCATCAGTACATGAAGACAGTATGATCCACATGTAGCTGCTTTTCTCCTTCACTGCTCCGTTTGCTTGATGAAGTTCCGTAAATCAATAAACATGGAATCAGCAAAAGGACCAATGCAGTTGTGACAAAGTAGAATGAAAAACTGAGCCTGGAAACCTGTTGAAATGAACACAACCGGTAAATAAAACTTAATATCTGATAACCTGAAACTTAAATCAGTATCGCATGGATATCCAGAAAAACAGAGGTGAAGCCATATTTGAGAACAGTGGAAAGTGACAATAAGGCAAGGGAGGCGTGAGTAGATGGGATTTTTAAAAATGAAGCAAATAGTGACCTTGTACGATTCTCCGTTGAAAATCCACTACTAATGTGTTCGCTTAGTAAAATATTGTTTTGAATCGTTGTCACATATTGTACCAGGAAAGTTATCAAAGCTGACGCATATGATACCGCTGCAAATTCAGAATGGTAGAAGTAATTGAGAGTCAACAGAAGAGTCATTGGAATGAATAGGAGAACGGGAAATATGGTTAATTGGAATGGGAGCTACAGGGATAAAATTCAGGCTTCTCGTATAGAAGGGAATTCTGCATCTGCTCAAAATAAGACAATGAATTTGAAGAAAAAAAGTCAGCTTTCCCAAAATAGGCGTGCAGTTGCGGAAATAGTTGGCTGGAAATGGTTGCAAGCAAGCAGTCTGAAACAAAGAAGCTTCATAACCATGCTTCCATCGGCTATAAATAACTGAACGAAAGTATCGTATTGGAAGCTCAAGCGGTGTTGGTGCACTATAGAATGTATCTACGAAAATGAATTTTTATACACTTCTAAATCTCCATAATTTGAAATTTGAAAGAGCTTCGTTAGCTGTTGAATGCAATAAACCAAAAACAAATTTATTTTTGTTAGAAATTTTTGATCCACCAGCAAGAATGCTCCATAGATAGATTCCTTTCGGTCCAGCAACAGTATCGGTTTCTCTAGCAACAGTGTTCAAAAGTGCGACAACTGCGCCGACTGCATTCCACAAAATTCCAATTGCCAAGAAAAAGAGAATAAATACCCATGGGACTTTAGAAACGAAACCTACTCGATCATATAATTCTTCATATACTGAAAAAAATGATTTAAAATGAAAATTTAGAAAAATTTTTCACGGTTGTAATTCCTTCGCTTTAGAAACTAACCGATGTTAAGAAGTTACCTGAAAAGGATTTATAACGTGAACCAAGTCCCCAATCCAGCTGTCGGCTGCCTTTAAAGAGACCCAAATTCACATAATTATTCACAGAATTAAAGTTTTTATTGATAGGCCTACTTTCCGACCAATAATCAGTAAATAACGCTGCAGATACCAGTGATAAGGCGGCTATGAAAATAATCAGAGAAATGAACATTGATAGTCGCCGTCGAGTGTTCATTCTTCTTCAGAAGTGTTAGTTACTTTGATGGATTACTAAAATTACAGGAACGACTTTTATCATAAAGCTTTTCCGCCACAATAAACTTGCAAAATATTGTGAAGCAGAGTTGAAAAAACTGCAGTCTTATAAACAATAATCTAAATAACTGAAATTCTCGGTATTCTGAAATTTTCTCTTCTAATTCCAAAATATCCGCATGCCTTTTCAGCTTTAACTTTATGTTGAAATTTTATTTTTCGGATTCAGCAGATTACTTAGATCAGTTTCTAACTTTTTTGCAAACCTATTTTTTTTCTTATCACAATGAAGGACTACATTATCTGGACTTCGGTGCCTGATTTTTGATTCAGTTTCAAAATTTTGCGAAAATAAACAAAAATATTCAATGGGACAAGTATAATGAAAAAACAAATGTCATCGAAATCAAGGCATTAGCACGAATCCATTGCTTTCAACGAAGAATGATTGTTACCAACGAAATTTTAACAAACTGCTCAGCAGAAGTGACATAGTGATGAGGCGAATGAGAAAGGCAAGCGGGGACAAAGGTTATTACCCTTTTTCGAGCTTCCCTAATCATTAATTACAATACGCATCAATCGTCACCGTCATTTCCCATTATACTTTTGTACATTAATTTGTTTTGTTTCTTACTACAAAGATTTTAATTTTGAAAACTAGAATCTTTGAAGTTTCCGACACTTCGACTTTATTTCTTTTTCTTAATTTTCAATCAATGCTTACAAAATGTCTGGAAAGATTAAACAGTTCTACACATTCTTAACAAAACGTTGAATCCTGTCACGACTGAAGGTATTTATATTGCATGGACAATACGTATGGCTAAATTAAAGGTATCCTAAATTGGGCAAGCTAGGAAAGCCAAAGGCCGTCAATGAAAAATGAATATTGAATAGAAGTGAAGCATTTGAAAATGATGGCTTTGAATCTGCTCAAAATAAATTCAAGTGATCACTGCTTAAAAGCAGGTTGGAAAGTTCTTTGCAAAAAAATAAACTGTCATCAACTGGGCCAGCAATGATCTAGAAACTTAAGCCAAGACGTTTCAAAATTTTATTGAAGATTGCCATATTTAAAATATCTTGTGTTTAAATAAGGTGCGAGGAAGATATTCGTTAAAGTTTTTTTTCAGTTTAATTACATCGCAACGTTCAAGGATATTTGAATGCAAATTAAATATAATAGTAGCAAAATTGGCAGTGTTCAGAAGCTTAAAAAGAATAAATACCGTTTGAGAACAATGAAATATTACGATTGAACAAATGAACAAATGGTATTTAGCATTTTTTGAGTACTGTTCTGATATAATAACTAAATTAAATACCATGCGTAGACAATTATAAATAATAATTCGACCTATTAGTCCAAATATAATTTTGTATGTCACTGATATCCTTCCATTCCTTCTTCCCACAACAAAAAAACTAAGGATTCCCAGATATATTATTGCGAACACACATGACCGAGTATGCATCATAAATAATAGTTTCTGAAATTATCGAGGTTAAACAATTTCGGAATGGAAGAAATGTTTCTCAGGCGTAGTATATGTAAGCTGGGCACAGTCATAACCTTCTTCAAGCATTCTATTTTGACGATCGCTTTTTTTAAAGAATTTTTCTTCACAGGCAGTTTGCTGATGTATCGCCTTTTCGGGACTTACTTGATCGATGTAGTATTCATCCGGACTGGATTGGAATTTGCTTCCTGACCCCGTGGCTTCTTCATACTTACCCAAGTCTCTGCGTTCCTCAATTACGCTTTCCAAATGACATGTTCCCATATGTCTTCCCAGCTTCGGTCTCGACTCAATCTCATTTCGGAAACTGCGATCTGCCCAGGACGTGCGAGGTTGTTGTTGCCTGATAATAACCGCAGTGCGAGACTGACTGGCAGTTGAATGAATGCTTTCAGATGGTGAATCAGCTGGACTACGGAATATACGGGTAGATGGTGGTAGAGGTGGTGGTGGTAGTGGTAGTACCGATGGCCTTTCTGAAGCACCATCTCCTTCCATTTCTTTTGTTCGAACAAGAATATTTGAAATTGGAGTCGATCGTGGAACTATGGCTTTGGGATCTGATACCTTCCTTTTGCTCATGTACAGTTGAGAACATATTAACAAGAGTAAGGGTAACAGACAAAGAAGTAGAATAAGTCCCAAAACAATGAGAAGCCAAATCCACTTGGGCCAATTGGCTACTGAAGTGTCGAAGATTTCTGCTGCTTGACCATTAATGATTGCTAAGTTGATCACTTGCTGTGGATAAGTGATCAAAATCGGCAAAATTTTTCTTTCACAGGCCCTCTAAAAACAAATTAAATCTTTTTAAATGAATAGAAAGGAAAAAATTTTAAAATTTCCTAAAAAAAACAAATTAAATTTTCAACATAAATAGAAAGGGAAAAATATCAAAAAGAGATAAACAGAATTTCAAACATCAAATAGATTAAGGAATTACTTGTACATTCGGTTGATGCTGATATGAGATTACGTTCTAAAAGACGTATGTACGAGCAAGGGATGTGATTATGTCGATTTAAGTCAAAAATTGTACAAAAGAGAAGGGAGTCATTGAACTTTCTGAATTTCTTGATAGCTCTTATAAATTGTTTCACACAATATCAGAAACTTAAGAAATTCCTTTCTTATCAAAAATGACAGACAAAACACTGAAACTGCAAAAAAAAACAGTGCAATCATGTCAATACGAATGAAAAACTTTTGAACATTTTTGAAAAAAACGATGCACAATTTGCTGTTTTCTAAGATGCATTGAACTTGCAACAGTTATGATACAGTTATAATGACTTCGAGATTTTATTTAAGTTTTGGTCGAATTGAAATTGAAATATTTACTTCAGCACATCCGCAACAGTGAAGTACGCGCACTCTGCATTCCAGACGAGTGAGCGGTTCTGGTGGTACAAAATGAATAAACGTACGTTTTGTTGCGCCTTGCAACCGATACATGTCATTTTCCCACATCTGCAGGAAGAATTTATCGCAAACCAAGCAGCTATAATGCAGAAAGTTTTAATTATCCAGGAGAAGACATAAATGATTGAGTATGTTTTGCTACAAGATCCTGCAACAAAATCTAATTTTATTAATTAAAAATTTCAAACTCAAATTTTCGAAAAGAATTCATCCTTTCAAAGAAAGTGTTATTACAATACAAACTAGAATGTTAAGAAGATTACAAAATTTGGAGAGAAAATCTAGAATAGAAGTTCAAATACATTATTGATTACCTATTTTGATCGACAAAACGGTATTTATCATTGTAAGTACATGACTGTAACAAGTAATCGTATCGATCAGTATCTGCCATATTAATACCAAGTGTATACGGTTGTCCAGTAATTAAGCTGCCGCTATTGACTACAAGTAAAATAAAATTTAACAGATAAACGAAACTTTTATGATTGGCAATGAAACATAAAACTATCAAAATAGCGCTTTCATTAGCTAACTGACCAGTTAATCACGTTCAAGAATCATTATATTTCCCAATAGCATGAATTACTTGTTGAACAATGCAGAGAGCAATAACCACTCATTAAACTAAAATATTCAAATCTAAAGGCTCTCGTCCGAGAGGCAATGTATATTTAGCAGTGATTTCCAAACTATTGATTTCCATTTAGAAATTTTAACGAAGTGCATTTGAAAAAGAATTCTTCAATAAAAAGCTTTTTGAAAAGGAATAATACTTCCATTCTGAGCTCATCGGTACAGCCAAAACCTTTTGATTTATGAGTCCCATTTATAAACTGGACCATAATTTGAATTTCATCTAAAATCCATGCTTATAGGAAGTTGTAAATTTCTTTATTGTTTCAGTAGATTTTGATAGCTAATGTTGAACAGCGGCATTCTTCTGGTAAATAAAATAAGAAAGTATTTTTTGAGCTCAGTCCAATATAGATTACAGTATATTGTTTATTTCATGCTTTTTTTTGTTAGAATTCCGATTTTTGAATTGATAATTAGCTAAAATTATGCAAATGAATTTCAATAAAAATTGATGCAACCAACCAAAATTTTTGTTGGCGCTATATATATCAAGAAAGCCTGGATAGATGCCGATTTGTGGTTGTACCCAAGATGTACACTTCCTGGCCAATATGCAAATTTGAAGGAGAGAAATGATGAAACGAGCAGTAAGGCAATACATAGCGAGAATTTTTGCTTATTTTGCTGTAAGAATTCGATTTAAAACTTATGATATCACTTTCAATTCATGAGCATATTTCATCAAAGAACGAATTCGAGAGGAATGCTTTTGTTACTTTCTCGATTTTCAAAAGATATCCAATGGCTCACCTCCATAGAAGTGCTCTTTCCTCTTATGTTTGCCTATTTTTGGTGTTATCATCTCCTTCCTTTCCGTCTTTTTCCACGCTAATAATTGCCTTCTCAACATTCATCAAAGTAAATATACAAATATGCCATCCTTTCACTTCTATTTGTCTTTGTGAACAATAATTTTAACTTGTCTCTTATTTGATCTTCAAAGAGAAAATCTTTAGCTTATCTGGCAACATCTGATTTTTATAAGCCAACATCTTAATTATGGATTTCTTGCATTGGGTACGGAAATATATCGTAAAAGGAAATGCGCTGCATTTAATTGATGTGTTAGATCCAGAATCCAGAAAAGAAAAGACACTTTAAGAACGAATAAATTGTGAGCAGTCAATTTGAGATATAAGTTTTAAAGGTCTCCTAGGAAACCCGAATTTATTACGTATTTATCGGAATCTTATCAAGTAATTCTGTAATTAAGCACGAGATAAAATGATTTTTCTCATTAACAGATTGGCACAAATTTAAGTTCTTTCGTCGATGAATAACAATCTTACAAAAATCTTCAATCTTATAATTCTTAAAAGTGAACACGAAATTATTTGGAAAATTGAAACTATTGGATTTACTAAGACAGTGTTTGACATCTATACTTATAGAATGGGAAATTATATCTCGGAAGGATCTAGAAAAATGGGAGGTGTGAAAAGTAACGAAAATAAAATGAATGCCTATCGTAAAAAAATGATTCGGTATGCAACGATGTTTTTAGAGCAGACAGAACAAGACATTTTTGATTCCATCATTTCTTGTGTTCATTTTAACATTTCTTGAATACAATTCGGCAATGTGCAAAATATTGGTTAGTCATGAAATTTTCACCCTGAATACGCAAAGCATAAAGCGAAAAGCCACACGCCCATACAAAATTATAGTATGTTTTGCTCCCTTACAAAATGGAATCGATCAAGCAATACTCTTCAACTTTGCTGATTTGTTTTGGGTATAGAGACTGAGGAACTTTAACGAATGATAATCAGGAAAAAGATCTGGGCCTCTAAAAAAATACGGTCCAAATAATTGGCATCACAGCTAATAGAGTTCGTCTACCAATTTGCGCTTTTCTGCGACAAATAATTTATTTGACACAAAACGAAATTTCTTCAGCTAGGTAAGAGCTAACGTGCGACAAACTTACTAACTTTAGTTTCAGTGCAACATGACTTTTATATTTGGATGGTCCTCAGAGAATTAAGCGCAGCCATAAAACGCAAAAAATTTTACTATTCTAACAAAAGTAAGTTGTATGCTTCAGATCTAAAATAGGTCTACGCTTTCCGGAAACATTTCAAACGCCCTTCTTTCATTTCTTTGACACTCCCTTTGAAAATCCGGATGACTTTTCTGATTGTAAATCACCGTCATTTATGAAAACTCGGAATATTAAATTGTTAAGGTACGTAGAAATGCTCTGAGCACTCCAGAACAAATGATGACTCCTCGGATATTGATTTTTCGGAAAACTTCGTAAGTTTCCTTTGTCTCATTTGCCTCACTATTGGACATATCGGATCGCCTCTTCTTGATATTAAATAATCAAAGTTAAGATTTCAACCACAGAAATAAAATTTCAGCGTGATTCTTAACGTAATCGAATTTCTAACCAGCTTTCATCATTCAACCGGTTACTTCTCTTATCAACAGGTATCAGGCCACAACTTAGGAGGCTTTCCTCCCATCTTGTAACCCTCCTTCGAGCTGGTTTGTGTCGGGGGACGTGTGGACGAAGCATCCAATGGCGGAAACTTCATCCCATCGTTCGTTGGTGGACGATTTTTAAGAAGGTTGGGCGGTGAATTATTGACCGAGGAGGGGCCAAGTTTTCGAGTGTCGCGTTACGTGTACTTATATGGATTAGCTCGAGACGTCTAGAGTAAGTTTTGAGGTCAGTTACCTTCGGTATCTCAATGAGGTCATGAGGGATAGCATGGCTTTGGTTCTCTTGCTATGTCAAACAAAATTCGATGTGTTTAGGTTCATCTCAAAGAGCCAAGAAAAATTAGTAACTGCTTTAGCCATTGAAACAATATGCAAAATAAGATGACATTTTTTCAGTCGGCAAGCTATATTAAATTAGTATTTTCTTTGGTAAGCTCTCCATTATTTCTAGGTGGGTTTCTTGAGCGGTCGCGTCTTCGTTTGTTCTAAATCTCAGTTGAGCAGTTCAGGTCGTTCGGGTTGATGGTCGAAGGCTGTGCGTTAATAATATTGGGAATATCGGGCAACTGCTATTTCTGGATGTTTCATACAAAAGTTGACTTTGAAGTTTTTACATGAAATTCCTGTTCGATATAAGAATTCTTATTCGAAGACTTTCAAGAATTAAATTTTCAATTTAGGTGGCTGAATTATATCGTTACAAAAAACTCTTCGAAAAGTGCTATTGTAAGGTTGATTTAAAGTTATGTTTCTATTAAAAATTATTGTTTAACTGATCACTAAAATCTTTGTTACCAGAGCTAGGTTTTTCTTTTCGCCAAGAAATAAAGCTTATTTTGTTAGTAAAAGCGGACTATTTCATCATAAATTGAATTACGTGGTATAACCGCTTAGTTTAATAAAATGATAGCTGAAAGGCCGAATCTAATATAGAACTAAATAGGGAGATAAGTAATAACAATCAAACCTTCAAGAGTTGGTAAAAATATAAGACAAAAAGACCCTTTATTTCCAGAGTTTTGATTTGCTTGTAATCAATACCAAGTTAGTTTGAATGCTTCAAAATAAACATTTGAAAAATCATTATTATAAGCCAATCCAAAGTTGTGAAAAAGGATCGTGAGAAAAATTCCCAGGAGATTTTGCAATTTTGCAGATTGCATGGTTGGGATGCACTTTAATTTCTTTTAACATTTGCGGGACTTTTCAGAAAAAAAGAGATCTTTTTATTTAATAAAATACATGGTTTTCTGTCTGCTTGCCAATCCAAAATTCATCTGATAAGCAATGTGGCGAAAGCATTCTCTCTGAAATTGTATTTAATGACAAACAGTATGCTCTCTTCTGAACATGTTCATACTCTAATCTATAAGCATAATTTTTGTTAGTCGGCTTTCCAGTACTGTGCATCATTTCAGTAGCTATCATTTCTTAACGACTTCAACTTTCCATTTAATATCAATTTCATGACTTACTTTGCTGACATGTCATCCGCAGTTTTATTCAGATGTCTGGTAAGACGGGTCTAACAAATGGTCAGTCATTCGGGCTGCAGTCTGCTGTATGTGCAGAGCGTACATCTCTTAGTTCAGATAGTTCGCGTGACAAGCATAATCGTTGTCCAAAAGGTATCTTCTGTTTACTTTGGCCTACTCAGCGATGAAATGATTATGGAATATGCCGATTGCACATAAACAAAAGTCGTTTTCCTCTGTTGTGAACAAACGAAGCTTTTAATAGCTTTGGGCTGGTTTACAATATTTTGAATTTTATTTGCTTGAAAATCTAAGATCTTCCAGCTGGTCGCGAAGATTCTGAACTTGCTAAAGTAACCATAAAGCTTTCACCGCAGCCTTCTTCAGTGGTAAGCAGTTTACATTTCTTCGCCTGAATTTTCTTGATTGTAAAGTTTTATGAATTTTGTATTTCTTATGGAACCTGGAATTTTTATCCAAGGTCAGATCTTTCAGCTAAATACTAATCGTCGTGTGTTTCAGGAACTTGTGACGGTTGATGTGATTTCCGATGAGGAATTGATTTCTCTTTATGAAGAACGCATTCCTCGTTCTTCTGTAAAATACGATGATATGTTGAGAAAAGCGGTCTTTCTTCTAAGAGACAAAATTCGTGTTGAGGTAAAGTTGATAAACTTACAACAAGTTATTGTGGAGAGTTGTGGGCTTGAAAAATGCAAGGCATAATTGGGAGAACTAAGTAATATTCAGAGACGTACGATAATTTACCTTAACCTTCTTGCAACTCTTTTGATTATGTAATAGCTTCCCATATAGTATCATCATTATATACGTTTGATTCTGATTGAAGCTAAGTAATGCTCATTGGGAAACATTTCGGTTTTTATTTCAATATCATTTTAATAATAGTTTTAGGAAGAAATTTCGAGTCTGCGTGCGCGCAATGAATCGTTACAGCAGTTGAATAAAACCATTAGAGAAAAAAGCGTTCGCTTGGTTTGTATTGCTTTTTGTTTTTTCATTTATCTGTTTGTACTGCCAATTTTTGATCTGTGCTTGTTTAGAATTGACCTGTATGCTCAGACTTTGATATTTTTAGCACGCAAAGGCTGAACAAGAGGAAGAATTTATATCCAACATGTTGCTAAAGCGCATTCAGAAATTGAAAAATGATAAGGAGGCTTTGGCTTTGAAGTACGAACAGGAGGAGGAATTTCTAACAAACGACTTGACACGAAAACTTTCTCAAGTTAGCTTTTTATAGAAATAAGTGATGGTTCTCATATTATTTTTGGAGTTCTAAGCTTATATAAAAGACATCTAATTTCATCGTGAAAATCTCACTATTTTTACTCAAAATAACATTGGGTGATATATTTGTTGGCAGTAAAATTGCACGAACACTTGTGCGAATTAATCATATAGCAGACTGATTTATCCAATTATTTCCAAGTTACTATCCGGAACATAAATTCCCTTGCTTCTTTTGTAGTGCAAGTAAATTACTTAAGATATTTCAGTGTATGGTATGTAAAGTATGTAAAGAGAAGCAGGTGGATCACAAGGCCTGTCATGAATTTATACCTATATATATAGGCTAAAACACTATGAAAAAGTTGTAAAAATGTCACTTTCAAATTTTATGGCATGGGATTATACAAAATCAGTTCCAGCTAACATTTTGTAGAATAAAACATTGGTCACCCATCACTTTCAATATTTATGGGCAGAGTCCTTTTTGCTTTCTATTGTATTATAATTTTTTGCTTCATTTATGTCAGTTTTAGTTACAAAATGAACGAGATGAGTTAGCTGGACAAGTTGAAGCGGAGCAGAGTTGGGTCGTCGATACATTACTTGTAAAAATTCGTAAACTAGAAGCAGAAATTAGTGCAAACCACACGGTAAATTTCTGGCATGTGTATAGTCCACTGTTATCTTGAGAATTGACAGATCACACAGTTATTGCAGGCACTCGAGCAGCTGCGTCGTGAAAAAGTAGATCTTGAAAATGCACTTGAGCATGAACAAGAATCACTCTTCAACACTCTTGGTAAACGGATGGATCAATTGGAGGCTGAAAAAAGGTTCTGCGTTTTGGGCTCAGATGCTAAAGCGCCAAGAGTTTTAGTGAAGAATTTATTCAATGACTTATTTCCAGACGCATGCAGGCTCGTTTGGATCAGGCCAGTTTATCGGAGGATCATTCACCATCTTCCTGTGCAAGTGATTTCCCATGTCATGAGTAAGTTCACTGAGTCTTTTATTTCAAAGAATTATGACGAAATTTTTACCTCTTATTTTCAAGGATGAATGATACGGGGGAGCGTCGCTCAACAAGAGCTGAAACAGAAGCTCGTAAACTTCGTGAAGAATGCAGTCGCCAGCGCAGCGTTATCGCCAATCTCAAAGAAACAATCTCCAATTTACAGCAACAAATGAGTGCGCAGGAAACAAAATGTTCGTTCCAGTTACAATGTTCTTAATTTGTAAATATTTTAATATGTTTATAACATATTGCCTAATGGTTTTCCCTAATAGTTTTAGGAATGTAAAGAACACTTCGTAAATAATGTTTTAGATGTTGCTGATTTGCTCGCCATTCGTGAAAAGTCGGCTGAATCTCGTGCGAATAATCGTCGCGCACGTATGGCCTTAGAAACTGATTTGGCACGTTGTCTTGAAACCTGCCGGTAAGAGGACTTAGCAATATATTCCGGAAAAAATTTTGAAAATGGTTAGAAAAGAAGAGAAAGAAAAGAGGAGCATAAGGAGTTGGTGAATAAGTGACAAAACAGTTTTTTCATCCAGACAAATTCGTTTATTATGGTTGATTTCTGTGTTCTATTACAGTGCATTTGCCACATCTGAAACAGCTCGTGAGAACGATGAGGATAATTGTATGGCGGCACTTCTTAACCGAATGTCTGTTCCGAAAAGCACGACACCGACACCCACTAATCCTATAGAAACTTCTAGCCGTAAGTTGATTTTCGGCATAAATATTTGCGATCAGTGATCGTTTTGGATAGGATTATTAGTAATCCATATCTTAATTTATTCATACTTAACATTTCATAAGAGATATTGCAGCAAATGCTGTCGCAGTTCTGAATACTGACGCTGGTCTATCCTCTTGGCACAATGAACGTGTTCTCTCTGGACGTATGGAATCTCAAGGTATAATTTATCATTACTGATGGAATATAAAATGCTGACGGAATTGCTGATATACGCCAGTCATTTTTGTAAACAGACGCAACAGGAATGTTACATCAAGTCATTTATATCCTTTATATTTTTAGGTGAAAGAATGGAGGAGGGTTCGGAGACGGCAGATACAGATGGTGATGTGAACATGGATGCGAACTTCTTCACAAATGAACGCCTCTCTCCTCGAAATGGTAAATGATCCATATAACTGGTTAATCATAAATTATGAAACTATGTATGTGTTTAAATTATTGAATTAAAATTGAAATTTTCGTCCTACGAGAATAAAATTCCTCGTCATTATTTTAGAAGATGGAGAGCGTTTCAATGAAGAATCGACAAAAATGATATCGACATATCCTGGTTCGATTTCATCAGCTTCAAATGAAGATTCGGTTTGTTCTGCCAAGTGATTTTAGATCCGTTTTCAGCGGATAAAGCCAGAATAGCATTCGAAAAAAGTAAACAAAAAAAAAACAAACTTTATTCAAAAAAAGTAAAGGCCTTCGTGTTATTTATTTAACTCAGTTATTTCCATCTTTTTTGGTTTTGAGATGACAAAGATGACTGCGTGCTATGTCCAAAAATTGGTTCGAAGACTCTAGAACGGTCTGAATCCTCGGCAGCGCCGGTTATAGCGTGGTATAAATCTTTATTTTGCACTTTTTAAAGCTTCTTAAATTGTGGTGTTTATTTCAGAATGAATCAACAGAATTGACGAATATGGGTCTTGATCAGTTCGCGCGTCCAGCCCTTCCTCCAACCCGTTCACCAGTTGCCAAAAGAGATTGATTGTCGGGGAAAAGTTCAACTTGTGACAATGTTATTTTTCTTTTTTATGAACTGATTCATTCACCTATAAATATATTTTTTTTTGCTGCTCAAAAATTCTTTAAATTCAGAATCCCTTGTAGTACCCTTGTTCTATATCACTTTTCCTGTGTTTCGAGAATTATAGATTTGGATCATTTCAATCGTTTTTGGACTTTGCCTGGCTCTTTTGGACTGTGAGCTAATGTCTTTCATTTTAAAGTTATTGCATATTGCTGTGGGGAACTTTTGGTTTTTCTCTTGCATGCTTTATTTTATTGTCTCACATAGCACATTTCCATCTGAAAGCTATCCTTTTTTGCCATTTAACGTGGGTGTACTTGCAAAACCACATAACATGAACCGGTCTTCTTAAACTTTTCACTCCTTATTTTTCTCCCTTTAAATGGGTATTGTCATGCAATATCTGAAGTTTAATGCCAAGTTCATGTGTTTTAGCGACTTCGGGTGGTTCCATTTCTCAGGATTACTTCTGTCTTTACTTGATTCTACGATTTGCTTATTATGCGGAGTTGTTTTAATGATATTTAGAAGACTCTATAAAACCTACAAAATTATTTGACTGAGTTATTTTATTTAATCGGGCAATGCCTTATGCAACTATTATTGAGAGGCGAAATCAGATATCTGTTCACATGCAATTATTTCTTATCATATGACTCTGTATCACTTTCTGTGGGAAAAAACGTTTGTTATTGTCAACATTATCATTTATTTTTATATCATTTTGTTCCATATATAACTCCATCATTTCCATAGCAATGTTCGTATTGTAAACGTCTGGTCCTCGCTTCTCGTTCTCATTTCTGCTCAATTTTGTGCAAGCAAACCGGTTCTCTCTGTGAGAAGATAGGCCAGTCTGCTTTCACTCTTTCTCCTTTCCAACACTGTATGTTTATTTTTCCTTTTTTTGACTTTACAAAAGCGATATGTTATTCGTATAAGTACAGGTGAATTTCGTTTCTATTTCGTTGCTACAGATAGATTTTGTATATATATATATATAAATATATATGTGTGTGTGTAAGGAAGGGTGTGTGCACGTGTGCGTGTGTGTTTGTGCGACTGATTTGTTCAGTGAATGTTAAATTTTTAATTCCTAAACTCATGTGGATTGATTGGAGAAAGATCGGACCGATTGAAATTGAATAAAGTTCAGAGCAGGAAAAAAAAGGATACTTCATGGTTGAATAACAGTATTATGTAACTGCTGACTCTTCGTTCAAGTGTATGTATTCTTAATGGAAACTTCAATACAGTTCAACAAATGTAGATTATGGATGTGAGCAAAGCAATAGCGGATTGCTACGCTTATTGAAGCGACTGCAATGTTGAGCTAGGTTTTACAAGAAATCCTTTAACACTTTTCCCTCAAATTCGTATCTTCGCACCCTTGCGATGATCATGTATTTCGTTGGCTACCTTACCCAGCGCTTACTGCATATCGAATGCTCGTAATTACTTACAAGGAGATAGATATGATGGCACAATAGCATTTTGGAAGAATCCGTAATGTCAAATTAACTTGCCTGACCTTCTTTTCCTTTTCGACAAGCATGAGATAGCACATCGATGTTTTGGTTTAAGAATAAAGCTACGATGTCAAAACCGGACGAATAATTACTACCAAGGATCCCAGCAAAACCCATGCCCTATTCCATTCAATTCGAGCTTCATCAGTACCTATTAAACTCTTACAGCCATTTCTTTTCAAACAGTTAGACAGGTAATAATGAATTACAATGAAAAAAGTGATAAGAATGATTCCAACATCTCAGGACAAAAAGTAATCAGGGATACATTTATAAAATATCACTAGTTCCAAGTAGGTGCATTTGTTGCAAAGGTTTCTTTTACCCTAATCAGCACACCCCAGGTTTATAACTTAAAACGCATATCTCAAAAGTGCGCAATACTTCTACATGTATCTTAAATGAAAAACTCCTCCTCATTTCAGCAGCGAAGTAACATCTAAACTTCAGCACTTATTGTCACATCGCACTAAGTTCAAGAGAATGAATGGCAACTAAGAATTCAAAAAAAGGTACTAGTATTCTTGAGGAGTTCACCGATTATCATTCTCATCAATATTCAAAGTAGCGAATACTTTACATTATTCAGCCAATTAAAATGCTCAAACAATCTCACTGCCAAATTATTGCTACAGCGCTGTATGAGCAAAAGCAATGTGTTTTTTCGGAAAGATCTTAAGCTCTTCCAACAATCGAGCCGCGAGTTGTGTCTAATCAAAACTTTTTAGAACAAAAGCTAAACATCTCTGCACAATCTGAGACTGCCATTATTAGTTAAGTCAAGAAAAATAATTTGTGAGTGGACTTAATAATGAGTTAAATTAACAGGTATAAAAGAAGTTAAGCTCAAGTATATGGTGCTTAAATGCAACGCGTCAATAACAGCACAATTAGGTACATTGCAGAAAATATGAATAATTGATTAAAAACTACTAGACTTGCTATGTCTCTTGTCAAAAAACAATAGATCTCCGTAACACGCTACATATAACAAAGACTTCAGTCATTAGGATTAAAATTCTCGAAACACCCATATCTGTTAAAACGTAGCTGGTAAAAGTAAACACAGTTCGATATTCAAAAATGAATTAAAGCATTACATATAAAAACGGATCGCATTGTTTTTCTCATTAAGGGCAATTTTGTTTCGGCCAAAGAAGCTAGCCAGATGAAGGAAATACCACAGTTCAGAAGGAATTTCTAGTAGTGCCTTCATACCACCGCATTCGGCTTTAGCAATCTGCATATTTCTCATTTTTGAACCATTTTTATTCCTAAAAATTTAAATGTACAGCTCTATTTTAATTATGTTGTTTAAAACAAAGGACCATACTGCTTTGTTGAAAATAATATATCGAATTCTGATTTGACTTTCAGTTAGCTTCGACTTCGTTTCTATCTATAAACAAGAAATTTTCTTCCCATATTTTCTTCCAGAAATTCTTTTGTTTCCTCTGATAAATAAAAGATACGAAGATTGGTACGCATAATACGCATGAAAATTTCTGGGAGATAATGTGCCCTGCTATAAAGTGATACTGGAATATCTAGCTTCCCGAACACCAGCTGCTTCATCAAACGGTGATCCATGGGTGCAAGCATACATTCCGGTAGTACATTAATACTCCTATAACTGGGAGTGAATTAAATTTTCGACAATATTTATTGCACAAAAAAAAAAACGACCATTCACAACCACGCCTTGTTAAACGACTGCCAAAAACTTCATTTTATTTTTGCGATTGTTTTACCGCCCGACAAACTTAATGCAGAGGAAAAATGCATACTTTTTCAAAGCAAATACACCCCTACGATTGCGAAGAAATCGATAATCTTTCCAGTAATCCTCTTCAAATTCGTTTCGCTCACTTGAATTGGTACCAAATATACCTCTTAAAATAATTTTTCTTAACATGTGTCAAAAATACATACTGATACATCGATCCCAAAAATTAAATTTAAAAGGAACTTACGTAACAGTGAACGGTCCTTGTGGACGTTTCAGATTCGCACTTTCACATTTCTTAATTAACAGTTCTTCCTCAGATCCTTTTTCCGAATCAAACATTGTCTCCTCGCTGCCTGATCCAATTTCAGCACAGTATTCATTTTTTACAACTTTTTCGCAAACAGTCAATTCTAAAGTGAAATCAAATTTTCTTGCAAATGTTTCACTAGATCGATCAAAAGCCTAGTTGGGACCGAGACTCCAGAAAAAATTGGCCTACTTTAATCACAAAATCACTATTCAGTACTTCTATGTACTTATTACTCATATGTAGAAAATATTATCCCAAATTCAAAAATTCCACGCAAACTACGGCTTCCTCCTTCCACTCTTCTTTCATTTAAAAGAAGTTAAATCAACATACTGTTCATCGATTATTTATTTATGATTTCAATTAAATATAAAAACTGAACAAACCGTCATCTGCAAACTCCGGAATTTGTTTAAGGAGTTTAATTATTTCGCTATCAAGTTGTGCATCAGACATATCTACCGAAAGATCCAACGCATTTTGTTCATCTAGCCAGGGAATCAGTATCGATTCCTTCTGTTCGTCCTATAAATACGATGACTATATGTCGATAACTAATATATAAAGTTAATATGTAATATGTAATATCGCAGCTAATATGTAAAGTTAAAAAAGCGCTCATTAAGATTAACAAATTGACAGAAAAATCACTGGGAGCTCCACGTTCTCCATTTTAAATAATGCAAACAATGCCTTCAATTGTATAAAACTTAATGTCACTTCCTTTTAAATCAATTGATTGGTTCCTTTAAATCAGTCAACATACCGAACTTTGGGAAAAAATCCAGCAATTTATAATAAGCTACCAAATTCATCAAAAAGTCACCGTTTTCAGATCATATGGCTTGTAGTAGCGCTTTTTATGGACGTACTTGACATCCAATAATGAATCGATTTCTGGAGTCTCAAACAAAAAGTCACATTATTATTTATTATTTATTATGTCACATTATTCACCTTATATATCACATTATTTCAAAAACTTTCAAAAAAGTCTAGCTACTTCCAAAAAAATCATGTAAAAAACATGATTTTATTGGAACTAGCTAGACAGCTAGACAACTCAAGAAAATTCTAAATTTCTATATAATTAATTGCATATAATAAATACCTTGAAAGCTTCGTTGATGAAATCACTGCAATCACCATCATGTTGCTCATTTCCTTTCACAGATTTTCGTGCCCTCGTCTCACTCAATATAGTGGGTGCAGGAATATTACTCAAACGTCCACTTGATGGACGGTTGTTCGCATGCGAATTGGAAGGTAAATGGGGATTTGGAGCCATGTGTTCTTCTCGACGGATCAAACCCTGAAAACACATTTTTTTTTTCACAACCCAGCCAGCATCAATCAACCTTCCGTTTAACAATAATGCATTTATACACGAATCACTCCTAAACACCTGCAGCTCTCAATATTCAAACCAGACGCTTCACTGAAAGCAACAACTTTGCGTGTAACCGCATCGGCCACAGAATAAGAGCCGAGAAAAAGGGCACTGCTCAATGCACTCAGCAGAACTTACATAGGTTACGCATATATGCCAAATAAACATGAACGAAAACAATAAAAACCAGAATTCTTTGCAATTACAAACAATGTACATAGAAACATATATAAACAATTTTTTGAATCTTCTAAATATCTAACCTGACCACTGTGCGAACCCATTCCTGATGGAGGAATGATGTTTCCATTCTAAAAATGTAGAAATTATAATGACTGGAAATGAGATAAATGGTGGAAGGACCAGGGTTTTCCTGGACATGCAGCCCAACACGTCGTGCCTCTCAGTAAGCGTCTTTACATCCGATAAAGCATGTAATAGGTCTCTCGAAAGAAGTTCACATCAGTTTATTAAGTAGTTCCTACCAATCAATTTCAGTTGTTTTATCCATTCGAATATTGCCTACTGTCTACCAACATGCGGCAACATTTTTTTTGCCTTACTTGAATCTTCTACGATGTGCGTCATGTTTCTACACTACCTAATTTTTCTCATTTCCATTTGCGCAGCAAATATAAGACCTTTGGGTAAGAAATTAAAATATGCTGAAGACGAATGACAAATAGAAATTGTTGAAATTGAGTACTGAAAATTATGCGGACATCCGACCAGAAAGTGATCGGTAATACATGCGTGGAAATTCTAATCCGAAGTTAATGTGAAAATGCATCATTAAGAGCTTTAGAAACAAAACAAAAACGAACTAAATAAACAGGATTGTTGGTTTGTGTGACAACGTCATGCGCCACAGGTAGTCGACTACTGTGAGTATGACGTGAATCTAGTCTCCGTAAGGCTTCTATTGCACGGTTTAAAGCAACTTCACCACGTGAAACCATTGGTCGATCGGGCGTTACCAGCAATGTATCAAACGCCTCAAAAATATAAAGAGTTTGTTTAGAATATTTCCAAAAAAGTAGGAAAGAACTAAACTAAGTTTTATAAAAGTACAAAAAAGACTTTGCATATCTAACTGATTCGAAGCGAGTTGGGCTTTTGTGTTAATTTTGCACGAAATATTGATGTTCAGGAAAGAAACCAGATAAAGCAAATTAATATACTTCATGTGCAACATCAATATTTGCTCGATTCACACGTATCGTTGATTCTGTACGCAGATGTTCACTAAATCGCGACGACCACCAATCACTGCAATCATCTTCCACATCATAACATTGCTGCTGTGCGACGCTTTGATTGCGCTGCTTGTAAGTGCATCGTAAAGAGCGGCCGACCCTCATAACCAAATTAAGTGGTGGAATTTGATCATCGATTTGGCAATCGTTATCATCAAAGTTCAATGCATCCGATTCCTTCGTTTCATTGCCATTTAGCGGTCTGATCCTCTCAATTTTCAACACCGGCAAACATGATGGTTTAGCCAAAGCTGTAAATAAAGTGCAGTATTTAAGCGATTTTTTGGATTCGGTATTACTGCTTCGTTCCATTTGTCTTTCCAGTTCTTCAATACTTTCGACTAAAGCTTCTTGAGAGCTATTCTGTGTAGCGTATTCACCGCTTATATCTACAATAGCATGCCCATCAGTACTCGAAACTGCTGCATCTACTGCATCGGAATTTGATGAATTTTCTGCATTAGAGTTATAGTTTCTAGTAGAACATGCAGCCACTCTAGCCTGAGTGATTTCGTTTGCATTTGGAATTTCAACATTTTCCAGCCTTCTAAAACCTGGAGGAGCACCAAATAATGTTTCATTTCTTAATTGGTCTCCTTCACGGACCAGGAAACGCCTAGTATAACCCATTGTTCGACTACTGTTTTCACCAGAGGTTCTTTGATTTCGCTGCACACCATGATCTGAAAAAATGTACATAGGCTGAACAAAATTATAGTCACAGCTATAAGAGATACCACTGCGAACATTATTCAATGATGAAAAAAAGGTTGGAAGAAAGAGTATTTCCAGATATGTATATACTCACTTGGAACGGCTGGACGTGAGTACGCAGTAATAGGATACTGGAAGGTTCGAATCGCTGCACTGCTATCACTAAGTTCTGAATGAGGTTCATACGGTGATGGTGGTGCTTCTACAATGGAATTAGCAGGCAAAGAGTTGTTGCCAGAATGTCCGAGACCGGTAGAATCTCTCGTTGAACGAGCGGATTGCTAAATCAGAATTTCCAAGTCTCTTAATTCGTAATTTTTGAACTTAAAGGCAAATAAAGCATATGAGATTTTAACAGCGGTAAAAAAACCACATATGAAAATTCACCAAGGATCTTGAAGCGGAGAGACGAACGGAGGAAAAGCCGCCAGACTGCATACTCGAACGACTGGAGAAGCCCGATGATAAACCAGCAGGAGGTTGTACAGACAAGTGGCCAGAAAATCCTGTAGGTGGTTGGCCACCTATACGTCTCGGTGAAAAACTTCCTGACGTCTGCACAGAATCAGTACTTTCTCGGGCTGAAAAGAGTAGTCAACAACCAGCTCAAAAAAAGTTAAAATTGATGGAACAAACTAATTTCCGAAGATAAACTGATGTGCACGAAGATAAAGGTAAGTGTGTGATAAATAAACATGAACTGCAATCTTGAAAACTGGTGGATTGATATTAATGAACATATTTAAACTATGACATGTGATAGAAATTTTGAATACTCCCATTATAAAAGATATTAGTACACCGAAAGTTTATTCGTCCTAAATTTTTTTGTCCTTCCTTTCACATAATGTATCAATGTTCCTTGCTATTTAGAATGAACATACACTGATTTATCTCCGCTGCACTGCTATCAATGGGCCTACGACGAATGCGTGAAACCGTCTCAATTCTTAGCGGCCCATCTCGTTGGCTGCTGGTATTACGGCGAGTTCCGTCAGTGGCTGATTCTTCGACATCGGAATCATTGCTGACCAAAGGCACGTTATGTACAATTACACGCCTCAAGTCGCGATCACGTAGAAACTCGGATAACACATTTGCAGTATCAGCTATTCCACTGTTGCTGTAAAAAAAACCTGGAGAAAAATACATGATGACAAGGTAATGAATATAAAGATCATTTGCTACATAACGTAATTTGGAAAGACGAGATTTTAAAGAGCAACTCGAAAAAACCTAATTATTACCCATTATTAGGGGCATTCACGTACTGCGTTTGCATATGGTGTTCTTGCATGTGTGACACCATATCGGTAAGATGATTAGGCATATAATCACCAAATCCAATACGATAAAAATCGGTAGAAATACAAATTGGACATGCCTAAAAAAGACATGCCTAGGCTGTAACTTACGATGGAAAAACATGCACCATTTTTGAATAATTGAAAAGAAGCTGAAATGTAGATAATTATGAAATCGATGTCAGCCAAATTCGAAGCGATAAAAATCAGAAACTCATAAAAAATTCAAGGTGTCGCACAGAATCGAAAAAAAAAAACCATTTCGTTCCTTTGCGTAGGGGATCGTGGTAAAATCGAATGTTCATCGATGACGTGTGAAACCAGCCGTTCACGTGAAAAACCATTAACACCGCAAACTGGACAAGTAAAAATCACAACTCGTAAACGATCCCAGCTATGCGTTTGGTCGCCATGGTATGCCAATTCTTAAAATATAATTCAGGGCAAACTGAAAAGAACTGCAAAGAAGTTAAAAAAAAATGGATGTTTGAATATGGACATAATCAACTATTAATGCTGGCTCCAAAAATGTCGATTACTATCAGGAATAAATATTCAGAGATATTACGTAGACCGTCAAAGGCGTCGACTACAGTTTAAAGGAAAATGGTGCAAACCAAGATTTTAAATTCAATTCCAAACTCTGAAATAGTAACCGCTCTAGAACAATGCAAAAATTTTCTTTGTAAAATGATAATAGCCGAGCCGAGTAATCAACAGAAAAGCTACCACAAATCTGATGGGACCTATACACTGAAAAAGCTTTAAAACCTTATCAGTGTAGAAAAACGATTGAACCAACCATTCCACACTCCGAAACCTCGCTTTGAAAGTACCTATACAATATCTTCCAACTCTAAAAACGATTCATTTTCTTAAATTATAACAATACCGAAGTCCTGTTGTGTCATAATACACTGCATTGGATGAGATGGAGAATGCTCTTCGTTAGTTTCTCGAAAAGTACGATTTTCGGATGACATTTCCGTTGTTCGTTCTTCCATGTAGCATTGAGAGCATAAATCAAAATCATAACACCGAAGACATTTGTAACGATCTCCGGCAAAATTCGGTGCCATACAGCCATCACAGGAAACACCTGAATCAGGTACTAACATTTGAAATGGTCACTCCTGCCTTTCCAAAATATATAGAAAACACTGAAATATACAAAATGTGGATTAAAAGGCAGACCTTTCTACTGATGTTGGTCCTTGATATAATTGTCCTTAGTCCCTAGTATAATATATAATATATATGAAAGAACTCTTACACAAGTTTTAAACCAGTTATTAATCAAACTTTCAAGTGAAGTCGCATCAAAGTTACAGGTACCTTTTTTTGTGTCATGTGTTATGTGCATTTCTTTGTACTTCACTTATTTTTAATCCAAGAAGATGCTAATTTTGTTAACTCATTTGCCAATGATGACACATAATATAAAATTACCACATATGGTTGCACGTTAGTAGCACATTTGCAAGTTCATAAATCTCAAAAATAAAGAAAGAGGGAACACAAACCTTCGTGTATGGAACTCATCCGGTTATACGGACGTCTAATGCCGCTACTGGGAACAGACGTATAATGATGACATAACGAGAATCGAGTCTCCACCCCTCGACGTCTGAAACGTTTCGAAGAGCGGCGATTTCGTGCGGAAGACATCACTGTTGAATTGCAATAAAGTTCTCCTAGAGTGTGCAAAGAAATATTTCGGATTAAAACATTAAAAATATCACACGCTTACATCACTTACATTAATCGTGACGTTCATTTCCACAAGCAGCTGACTACATAGGCCTACACAAACAAGAGTAATTTCAAGTTCCACACTCCTTCAAATCCCAATCAAAAAATATGCAAATTAGGAAGCGTCAGTTGTACACGGTATGCGAGCAACTGTGATATGAAGTTGATATGGCCATTAAGTCAATAAAATTTCCCAAGACATCTAATGGGTGGAACCGAGCAATCAACATTACAAAGTTTGCTTCTTACCACCATCATGACGCAAGTTATCACTTTAATTTCTTTAATTCCCAACTTCTTGAGTAGAATATACGCACTGCATTTTTCTAATGTGACAATCTATCATCGCGAAAATAAAGCAAAAGATAGATTGTCGTGTCCTCCTCACACCCTATTACTGCCACTTTTTACTTTTGATATGACCAGCTTTTAGCACGCCTTAACTCATTTAGGAAACAATTCTTAATTGAAAGGTAACCACGTGCAACCATCGAATGTATGTGCAAATCATTACATCTGAAACTCGAAGGAATCCATCCATTCCTGAGATGGCACAATGCCATATTTCTACATTATCTTCCACTCATATGCAATGACAAAAATCTTCGATTTATGCATCACACATCACAAGATGTGGTATCAGCTGTACAAAAATGCAACAGGAATTACTTTCAATTAGGTAAATGTTTGAAATGCAAGTTAAAGTTGTATTCAAATTCAAATGATTTATTTGCAACTAATAACAAATGCAAATCTTATACAAACTCCACGCCGCATTCGGAATACGATTTGTTCGAGACTGTATCTGCGAAAAGTACTTCTGCGTTGATTCCATTATTCACTAGAATATCATTAAGTAAATTTTAGAACATTCGTAACCCTAAAAACTACTGGAAAATATTAAGCAACTGATCCCAACGGTGATCTAATAATAGTTTGTTTTTTTCCAACTGACCGTATAAGCAACCATTCATAATAAACAAACAATATCATGCTAAACATTGCTTTTACTTACAGCAGTTGTATCAGAAAATATTTGTATAAATGCAAATTCATCAATTTTGCTTTGTTTTACCAATCATTACAGGTTCTGATGTCACATTAGTAGAATATTTGCTGATAAGTTAAATGTTTTATTTTAATTCATATCATTTTGCTATTCATTAAAAATTCCCAACGCTCAATTTTATCGGCAAATTTTGAATTTATCTTGCTTTACCCGCAATATGTTTTTTTTTGACGAGGGAAATTTTATTTGAACATTTTTTAATCATTATGTAATCCATGACTTTAGGATTATTCAATTATTGCAAATCATTCCTGCAAGTAATTTTTCAACTTAAGAACCGTAAGTTAACCTTCTTTGCACTGGTAAACCTTCAGTTTTTTTTCTTATTCTTATGTAATTTCAGTTTTTGCATTTTATTATCAAGAAAGTCTCAAAAGAGATACGATATTGAACTGATGTTGCTGCATCATTCATCAGACATGATAATCAATTCAATGCCTGGCGAATTATTATCTTATCAGAAAAATACAAGAAATTCTGGATTGTAGAATTTAAAGTTGTCGAAACTTCAATGGATCATCAGGAACATAGAATTAATGTGCTTTTTGAATTTTTCCGAGAGGGAAATAAAATTGATTAGTTTGTCACAACATTGTGCAATGAAATATCTGTGAATTGAGCATAATGTCACAAATCTTATTATCGTAATATCAGTTCATATTAATACCAATGTTGAATGAAACGATAAAGCATTGAATCCAGCCAGGCAGCTGCAAAATGCTTCCACTAATTACTGATGTTCTACTTGTGTATACCGTTGACATCGTATACCCTTAATGGAATAAAAAAGTTAAATTCATGAATTCCGTTCTATTGCAAGTGTAACAAGCGACATATTCACTGCAACCTGTACTTCCTCCACTCATTCTCGTTTCTAAATCATGCTTTAAAAAGAAGTGAAAACACACATAGCCCGTATTACGTGCTTTGATTTGAAGCAACCATTAAGTGATAGATTAGAATAAACCATTGTGAATTATTAAACTTCAACAACTTGGGAGAAAAAAGCCTCATGGCATAGAGATAAAGTTGAAAAACAAGTTCTACTTACAATAAGAAATTTTATTTCTCTAAAAAGCAGTGGTCTTTTGTATAATATGCGATTTTTAACTGCTCATAGCAAGGAACTTTGAATTTTCCAGCTATGTCATTTTTTTCTCTTCAACGTGTTCATTGGGAACCTGCAACCAGTTAGATAATTCATTCTTCAAGCCTTGGTTATACCACTTCAATAGTGCGAACTTGGAATTGGTTTTGGGAAATTACAGAAATAAAGGGAAAAAAGACTCATAAGACATCCAGAAAAGATTAACGGTATTCTGAATCGTTCGAAATTCAGAGTTTGCGATTGCATTCTATAACTAGTAGGCAGAGCGGTTGCAAACAAAGCGAATTCGCTTCATTATTTCAAAGAAAGTTTTTTACAACTTCATCTGAAATCATGAAATGAATTCAAAGTTTTATTCGAAATTTTAGTTCAAAATTAATTTTTTGGATAAATTAACTGAGTATCCTAACACACCAAATTATCACATCCCCGGTATGAAGCGCATACAAAATTAATTAGTATTCTGCTGCTTTGAAAAAGTTTTATAGTACGTTTTCAAATGAATAATAGAACAACGCATTTGTGCCTTATAATACTCATCTTTCTATTGTTCGATAATCAAGAAAATTTATGAAATGCTTAGTTTCAATACGATAATTCATCTATTTATAACATCATAAATCATACTCACACTGAAAACATCAAGAAAAACCAAAGATTGATTTGCGTAATTTCAGGCGGAACTACCTAAAGCGATAACCGAGCCAAGTAATCGGACAGAGAAAGCCATGGGGTTAACCTCAGACAAGCAGCTAGCACTGTTTACCTTAATTTTTGCCCTCTTTTATTGGTAATTTTACGGAACAAATCCGGAACTATCTTCTGAACCAGAATCGGAAACAGACTAGCGGTAGACAAGCTTCACTGCTCCCAGAATTTTTTTTTCCAGTTCACCAAAGAAATCCGAGTAACGCGATATGAAATAAAAATTCGAAACTTTCTTCGATTATATGAGACTGTTCTGTTATATAATTTCAGAAAGGCAGTATTAATCGCTTAAGGATGATACTTTTCAGAAATTTTATATACCTGAATCACTCCCATGATTCAACCCATAATACCCTTATTCCTATTTCACGGGCTGAAGATCAGCTGCACTTACGATTCAAAGCGCTTACCCCTTACATCTTAACGAATTCTTAACAATTTTCTCTCTCCCCTCCCGTGTTATATTGACACCTCCGCAGGGATAATCGTGCAATGATCGCATGTGTGCAACTCGGTTAGTTGACCACGACCAGTTCTTCTCTGCTACTCTCCTAAAGCGGCAGGTTAATATTGCTGTAGCTGCTTTTAGTATTGCACGCTGGGTATCACTTTGTTTTTTTTAATGGTTATTTTGTCTCCGTAAGTTTCATCGGATTAGTTCTCTACTACTATCAAACGTACACAACATATTGAGTGGTAGTTATTGACTGAGGTAGGAAAAATCTCTTACGGGGACAACTATTTCCCCAAGCTATCATAAGTTTGCGCTGGCAGGAATCATTCGTGTCGCATCTTACTTTTGTAGTGTGGATATGGGAAGTACCTCGCCTGACCTTACAACGTTGATACGGGAGTATGCATGTCGCAATTATGTTTTGTTATGCGATATAGCAGTGTCTCTTTTGTCAGATTTACGGTCCTTCAACACTATTACAATTCATATTGTGCGGATGCTAATTAACAACTAATTCGAATCTGTTATTATACGAAAGCATTCGATGTGGGTGACGTTATTAAAGTCATAATATGTCCTCTTCAGGTTGAGGTTAGTTGGAAAATGATTGCGTTATTTTATCAGATTTGTTAAGCACAACTCATGTCCAGGAAAGCGCTATGGTGGTAATAAAGGGAATGATATTACCCCTCGCTGTTTGGCATCTCATTTACAACCGCGGCATGTCATCTTTCATCTGCACCCGTTAATAATTGGTTAATAATTGGTACCAGCTTTTTCACCTTCATTATGCGATAATCTTACATCTTCACTAAAACGTTCAGAAATGGAAAAAGTTTCTTTTGGACAGTCTTTAAAGCCTTACTTTATACATTTAAATATTTTAGGAAGCTCTGGACTAACAAGATCGATCAAAACTGCGATGGCAAGACCAACCACTCGCCGCAACCGTTTCTTTTGGGAGCTAATTGTTGCTTTTATGTTGGTTGTCTCTGCTGCTGTTTTTCATACATTTCATTTTTTCAATAATGCATGGTTGGTGCAAGTCAATGGTTCCTATGTCTATCAGGTTTTTACTGTCTTCTTTTTGTCACCGTCGGTCTGTTTGAAATGTTTGAATTCCATTGCCGATCCTATAATGATTTATCAAAACTTTGTACCAAAATTTGAGTCCATGCCGGCAATCTCCAATATATGAGGGATAATGTAATTCATGGTATTCATTTTACATTGTAGTACGTTGTAATAAAGTGTGAAATAGGGAGCTTTACATTTCAAAATCTCGGTGCACTGGGAAAACCAGATAAACGGAAAGAAGTACGCAGTAGAGGGACTATCACACAAAGTCGAATCAGTAGGTACAAAGAAAGTTATGTACTTGTCCAGTTTTTTAGCACAGAAAAATTTAGAATTTCTTCCTCACTTATTATAATCAAACTGCTGCTTCCAGGAATTAAGTTTTCAGCGTGGTTTAGGAGACGACTGTGTAAAAAATGAATTTTGGGATGGAATTAGATGCACAGGTTGGTCAGATAGCGGATATAGTACCTTCATTATCAATGGCCAGAATATTACTGCCTCGGATGTTGTTCCACCTTCCATAGGTAATCCTCCTATTCTATTTATATTGTTTAAAGGCAACTTTTCAATCTTATTTCTTCATCAAATTCAAAATTTATTAAATGTATTCACCAAACATTTCTCTGTCTCATTCATACTCAGTTTCAGGACTGAGATTGGCACGTGTTCTCATGATTTTCAGCATTTTATTATATTTAGTCATTATTTTCTCGTTATTTTTCACTTGCGTGAAACGCGATCTCAAAGTGCAGAAACTCTTGTGTAGTGTGACTGTATTGCTGGGTTAGTGTCTGCGTTATTGTTCCACTTCATCTGCTATACGCATTTATAGCTGCATGCGTCATTTTTCAAATAACCTTTTCGATGTTTTTCCCGAAGTGATCTGTCTTTCAGTTTTCATCAGTTCGCTCATTATATTCCTCGTTTTGGTAGATAGCTCAGAACCATTTATCAAAACCATGAAATACGTATGTTCTTTATATTTTTTTGAACTTTGGCTGTTTGGAAAATCTTGACACTCATATCCTTTCTTACCATTGAGCTCCAAGTTTGTTTCAGTGTTCACTAGGTGGTGCATTTTACTACTTCCTTTTATCATATTTGTTATTGTGGATTGGAAGTGCAGTACATTTTGATTCTTGGATCGACGTTTATGATGGTGTGCACACGAACGATTTACCGATGAGACTTTTAGGTCACATTCGCAGGAATACAACTTCGTAGAACGAAAGCCTTTATTTTTTAATGTATATAATCTATTATTTGCTAGCTAGAATTTTGTTTTAAAATAATAAAGTTGTTTGCTTTTCAAGGGTTTTATGAAAAGTATTGGGAATTTCAGATGTTCAACTAAGATATATGAAGCAATAATAGTCGCTATGTTGTTTATTCTAGAAGATATCCTTAAACTTGCCAGGGAACATTTTTTGGAGGGTTTAAATCACTCGATCAAATAGAAACGTGTCGATGAAAAACGAACTACATTAAAATTCTTTATATAGAGTACGTTTGATAACAATGTTAATATATCAAATAAATTTAGTGCAAAACTGCTTCGGCAAATAAAATCCTAGTGTGGTACCTCTTATGTCATTATTTACCACATAAATGTATTTAATGGCAGTTGTCGTATCTTCTAGTCCTCGAAATAAAGTGTTCCGTACCGCTGTCAACCTCTAACATTCATGTTAACATAATCAGGATAGCCCGATCATTTCTCGTTCCAAATGTGATTTTGGCTAATTCGAGTCATTCTCTTAAGGCTACTACGTAGATAGTACCCTTAAGAGACTAACATGGGATAAGTTTCTCAAGAATACGATCACGGAAACTTGTGACGAGTAGGAGACAAGATGAAGGAGATAGTATTGAATTTCTTGTGCACCCGTTTTTCAGAAACACCAGAAACGGTTAATGAAAAGTCGTGTAATCAAGATAACAATAACCAGCAAGGAATTTACGGTGATACACGCAACGAGGAAAAAAACCTTGATATAAGTATGCACGAAAACAAGTGACCAAATGAAGTGAACTGTATTCACAAAAATGCGCACCTGGTAAGTGATGCATGTATGTCCCCTATATTGTCATATAATTTCTATTCAATTTTATGCAATTTCTATTCAAGTAATCAAAAAATAACAGCTGAATTCAATTTTCCGCAATTGCATCTTCGGAATAACGTAACGGACGGCTACTTATTAGTATATTTCACAGCAGTTAAGAAACAAAAAGGTCTACTTTTGAAACTGTAGTCACTATAAAATTCCTTAAGAATTTGGAACGAGATGTAGCAATGCAATAAACATGGTACAGATCTTCCGCTTGAAGAATATGTTTGAAGCATATGTTCTCTCTCTAATTTACCCAATGTGAAAAGTATATATGTCCCGCTCGCCGGTATTGCAAAATGTGTTTTATAGTTTTACACTTGAAAAGGTTCCCATTTGGAAAGAAATATTCCTCACTGAATGTTTCTGAATAAATTTCAATACGCCACTTCATACAGCATATTTCTAAACACATGAAATTGTATAAAAAACGAAAAATGATGCCGCCGCAAAAAAGTCTTGAAGGTCCAGAGCAGATTTGTGCCTATTCACTTACTATTGTCCATAGCATCATATTTCAAAATTTGAATAAAGCGTTCCTTAAAATAACAAGAATTAGACATAGGAAACAAAAAATTCCTTTTATGAACAATATTAGTATAAAAATACTGACTTGACAACTTATCCGAGTGTAAACTATTCAAATTAACACTTTGTAGAAATACACTTGCGACAGATTTTTTTCAATTTGTGTCCCGAATATCAGTTCCATCAACAACTTGGTATAAAATATGAAGCGATGCTTTGTACACAAACAAAACATAACCTTGAGTCTTACACAGGAAAAATGAGAGGGTGGCTGATATGTGTATAATTGCCAGTTAGAGTATTCAAATAAAAATCGTAAGCAGCAAGATTAGGCACATGTGAATTATTGAGACATAGTTCATGATCGCGTATATCGCCCCAACCACCGTTCTCCCTCGAAGGTTTTAATGTTCGCTTCAGATTCTCTGCCACTATCATCTTTTTCGGGAACAAAGAGTCCGCTAAGCTACTAAAAAGTTCCGCAGCCTGGAAATTTTCTGGTCTTTTTTACTTCTCGAGTTCATTAATGTTGTGAAAAATTTTTATAAAACTCGGTATAACTATCTGTAACTGAAAGATGAACAAACCATTGCAGCAGCATTATGAACGGCACAGCGATGAGTGTGTACGCCGCAATCACCAATGTGTATAACACGAGGAGCTTTAACAACAATGACCTTCAATCTTGACGGCAAGCATTTCATGCTAACACGTAATAGAGACCAATCCCAATTGTAGTCATCGTACCTACAGAACAACTGAAAAGGAGGGAATTTAAACCTCATGCGAAATTCCCACCTCTTCACTAAGAAACAAAACACAAACTTACTTCCGTGCAATTTTTGATGAGTGCCCACGTATCCGCGTTAATAGCCATTCCCATATTATGTTTTGAACTGAACCATGGATGAATACCCAGCCGATTCAAATCGGTTTTAAAATTACTGTACTGTTTGAGATATAATCCAAGACTTATCACTTGACATTCCTCGCAAAAACTAAAAAATGTTGTAGACAACACACTTTCTAGCATAACAAGAGGAAAGCAAGCAAAATAAATTTCATTCAGTTATCAACACAACAACAAACTGAAGGCCTTCTGAATATCAACACTTAGTAAAACTTGAAAGCGTCGTTTAGATGCCTAAAACATAATATTCAAATCCTATCACTTACTTCGATTTATTGTCTACAATCAGACGCATAACATGCAAGAAATCTGACGAAACATAGTGATCCTCCTCCAGTAATATTACCCATACCTTTGTCAAAGCATACTGTTTCAATATCCCTTCGAATACGTAATTCATCTGTTATCGAAAATTGACTTTTAGAGGAAATTATGTAAATGACCACTGTTTTTCTGATCACTTGTTTTGAATGAAAAATTGTGGATGTAAGTCACCGAAGGCTATATGTTATCATTTTAACAAATAGGTTCTAACAATTAGATAGCTACAAAAAATCTGGAATAAATAAACCTTCCACCACCAATGATGTTTGATTTGTGTCAACCTTGCAACACGAAAATGTCCATATTTATCCGGATTTTTCCAATTATTACATTTCAGAAGAGCAGCTCTGAAAATTTTCAGATGCACGTAAAAAGCCATAAAATCCTTGGAAAAAATTCTAATTTGCAAAAAAATCTTTAATACAGAAATGGGTCAAATGCAGTTTACTCTTGCTTAGTTGCTTTTTCTGGACAATCCAAAGGATCCTGCCCAGGGAAAACATCTGGAAACAATTGAATATTGTATGGATAGAATATTTGCATAACCTGAAACAGAAAATCATCGCAGCTATCTTGGAGCTTTTAGGTATTGAAATTGTCAGTTAATTTAAAATCTTCAAATGACTAAAGCATTTCGATTTAGTCGATTCTAACACAAGTTTGAACTTGTTAAATTTTTAATTTCGAATTGCAACCGATATAAAGATGTTCCTTTTCTTGAAATTATTTCAGTTGCCTTTTGTAGTAAATAACATACTAAACAGAAATCTATCCCTTTAATCAGTTTGTTTATAGCTGCTGACGAATAATCATGACTAAAAATCAGCAACGTAGTTTCAATATATCGAGCATTTCTGAGGGTAGAAATTAACTCTTTTAAATATTCGATACGATTATGGACCTGCAAAATTTCTTCGTGGTATTTATCGTAAATAATTGCAATTTGAAAGAACATTCCTCAGAACCACAAACAGGAAAAGGTTTCCAAATGTAATGATAGCAAGATATTTGACCATAATAGTAACAAAAAAACCTACAAAGTAAAGTATAAGATTTTAATAGAGATATCAGATTTTGAAGGAACTTACTTGAACAACTAGTACAATCTCCACATTTTGCAACTGACCATACTTATCAGTATTCAGAATCTCATAATTCGCATTAAGAAACTCAATCGAACGGACAATTTCCTCTTTGCTTAAAGGTAACGGTGTAGTTCGAAATGTCCATCCCAACTCAAGTTCCTGCTACACAAGAAAAAAAATATATTCAAAAAAATATACATATAAGGCTTTACACTTGAAAAAAAATACCACAAATCATCCCGAAAGTTACGACTGTTAAGTGTCCTGCCGATGCTACTAATGTTGTCATATACTGATTAGTTAGACCACCTGATGGTCCTTTCATTAACAAGATCCCAATGTTTCACTCAATTAAATTTTTGAATTTAATCTAAGTTTAATCTAAGAACAAAAATACAAAATGCTTGCAGAAAACCTTACATCATCTTGTTCAGGGACTAGCAGTGATTCTTTTTCTGGAGCATCGTACAGTGAACGTTCAAATTTTTCATTAGCACTTAGATATGGACTTTGTAAATAGACCATCAAAAACCCTACCTAGAAAAAAGTCTTCTGTGTCAACTATACATGAAAAAATAGTAATTTTTTTAACCAAGTATACCAAATTACTCAGTCATACTGTATCTGGAACATCGAGGTGACATCATTCAGTGCGTTCATAACAAAACCATAATTACGACTTACATGGCAGTTAAAATATTTAATATGTAACGAAAAATAAGCATATACTCACTGTGGCTCACGTTATGCAGAGGACATTCCAAAAAAAGACGCATAGAAGTGGACGACATATTATTCATCTAACTAAGTAGAGGAAAAAAATAACAGGAAGAAAAAGAAATGAGAAACATTAAAACAACTCAAAGTTAAAAAGACTATTATCACTACAAATAAGTGCGTCCTCTGCAACGTTTGGACCAAGATTTTAATCCCAACTACTTCAACCTTAACCTTAAAACAGCTACTGCTATCACATATAGTATTTTATCCGCACACAAGATACTATTATAAGAGTATGTTATTATTACCACTACGCATTATATAATGATCACAATTGTTTGTGCTTACATTAATTATTCAATTCAAAAAAACTAAAACAAACAAGTCTACAATTTCAAAAGGAAAATAATCATAAAACTTACAAATGAAATGATGATGACTGCATTTAAACAACGCACAAATTTCTGACGGACCATCTAAGAAAACATCGTGAAGCCTATAACACAGAAGACTTTGCACATATTCATAATATTGTTCTCCGGTTATCAAAGTTTACGGCTCCAGATGAGAATCAGCTGCAACCAATAGCTCACTACATTTTTGTGAGTCCTTTGTTTCCATGTGGATAAAATAATGATAAGTATACAGGAGACTACAACAAATCTCTTAATCCTTCCCAGCGTTTTCAGTGACCAAATAAGCAAACATCGTTATTATCACATCGATTTCTCTACATTATAGATGGCGCAATTCCTATATCTTAGTACATAAAAAACGGACAGCAACATGAGAAGTGAATATGACCCAAAAAATCCATTGATTTAGAAGTCACTATACAATACATTTGCACCGTACTTTTATTCTAGTTCGAATTTTTAAATTCGAAATCTATAATTGGTCAATAAAGTTCTGCAAAGAAACTTGTAGCATTGAAAAACAGCCAAAAATGGAGAAAGGGCAAAAGGTATTCTTTGAGACAAGATCTAAACGGCCAATATTATTCGGCGATCCCAACAGGTACTAGGGAAATATAGAACTGGAGGTAAGGAATTTGTTTGTAATTGACGTGCATCTTTTAAAATATGATGTATAAGACAAAACAAATTCAGCCGAGGATTCTATAAATGCAATGGAAAGCCTAAAGATATATTGAAAGTCTGTTCCGAAAAATCTCACTACCTGATCACCAATGTAATTAAAGGGTCGTCACCACCAGAATATCGACGGCGCAGCTTCCTGCAATCGACTAAATATCATGTAATCCAAAATTTCAGCCCGCTGCAATAGTATCATGTAATCCAGAATTCCAAGCCCCCCAGGGAGTCCTGTATCAGAATCCAGAATCTCCGCCGGAAGATGATCACAACAACTTTATGACTTTAACAGTGCGAATATTTGACAAAAGTGCATTATTTTACTAATTTTCATCTTCCTTTATCTAAAATGGAAATAGCGGAGATAAATCTGCATATCTCAGATGATACGGCCATCATTTAAAAGTTATTTACGGAAGCAATTTGATCTAATGCTTTATCCACCATGTTAATAAAGCTTTGCACCTAGTAATCAATAGTAACATAAAATAAGACTAGAAAAAAACAATGAAGATTGCCTGAATTATAACAGCTGAGATATTAATCTTACAACCCTGGTTAGGTGATAGATTCTTACACGAATAATGGCATCATAGACGTTAAAAAAAATCAGTATGAATTACTAAGATTTCATGCACGTTATCCGACACAAATTCATCAGGACACCATTACTTATTTCATAGACTTAAATGGCATTTTCATCGCTTCCGAAACTTCGGCCGACAAATTCCTTTCGGCGATACATGCAACGCCGGCTCTTTCATAAACGTTTTCAATGCCAATGTCCGAAATGTCCAAAGAAGGTGAATCCTAAATAATTATTACATTAATTATATCAACATTTCAAGAGTTGCAAAAACTATTTCAATTCAATAAATTTGAATTTCATCAGTAACATACAGGTTCTTGCTCTTTTAGATTTTTATAATCTTTCAGCATCCGTTTGACATCATCCATGTAAACTGGCTGATGCAGATCATAATCTGGAAACAGATATTTTGGAAATCAATCATTCTAAACACATGTTCAACATTTCCAACAAAATTCGAGATTAACAGAAGAACAATAATTAAATTACAAAGTTTGAGTTACAGAATATGGAATTAATAATTGTGATTGCACAAGAAAATGAGTCAAACCTGAACAGAAGTTCTTCAAATTATAATACTTACCAACAAAATCAGGAGAAAAAAGAGTGCTCTGTCCAGCACGAGCCATTGGAATCCTATTTAAATCACCAAATTCTGAAACTAAGGGCTGAAGTCTTGACAATATAAAAAAGTTAAGATGTATTGCAATCATGTGTAAAACATACGCAATGGCTTCATTGAAACGAAGTGAATACTGTCAAACTAAATTCATATAAGATCTAAGTGATTAAAATAAATGACGCATGCTGTCATATCCGAAAAAGGTAGATCTTGATCAGAAGTGTGTGAAGACTATAAACTGTATTAATGATTTTCATTATTGTTTAATTTGAAAATATACAAACTGACAGCTTGATTTCTCTTGATAAATTAGCATCCTGTGGTGCACATTCTGCAACGCTAAGAAAAATTTTTTCTTGCTTCGTGCAGTGGTAAAGTAATAAAAAAATTGAAACAAAGTCATGCAAAGTCAAAATGTTTTCACTTTCTTAATGGATGCCCACCTTCTTCATCTGAAGAGAAGCCTGCTTTTTCTCCAACCTCTTCTCGCACCCGATCTAGTATTCTGCAATTTTACACAGCTTTAGTTGGAAACAATCAGAGATGGATATGCATCATCATCATGTAAATTACCCTAAACAGAACCTTTATATTTAAAGAATGCTTTAATAACCTTTCATAAACATTTCATCATCATAAATAATTGTTAATCAGAAATACTACTACTGCACTCCTACTGTTTAAAAAGCTAAATAAATTTATTTTGAAACTTACAATCTCAACCGAGCTGCAGTACGCCACTTAATTCTTTTTGATATTTTCGATTTACGAAAAAAACCTCGGGTAAGCACTCTCCTCGCTGTGGGTTCTTCAAACGCACTTGAATTGGTGTACCTCACGAATTCTCTCTAAAATCTTGCGCATATGATAAAACGGCAAAATAACGTAGTCATAAGGTCTAATCAACAGTGTTCTGAAGCAGGAATGAACAAACTTTAATAGCCAAATACAAAAGTGTTGATACAAAAACACTACATACTGTTACGATCCCAGCAATCAAATTTATCCTATGAAACTGGAATCACACAGATATTTTCTCCATATCGACCGCCGCTCCATCTTGAAATGCAAGGAAAAACACTTACATTTCGGGAAATAAGAAGTGATTTTAAAATAGTCATATAATAATGACGTATATAATGGTCATATAGAACCCTGCGATTATCACGCAGTTGCACTTGATCTGATGGTCTTTCTGGATTAAACCAACCACCTAAAAATGCCTAGTTCCGTTTGATTGTATAAAATTCAAACAATCACTACCAAGATGTAATATACCCAATTTATACTTTATCAATCACAACCTAAAACTCAGCCAACCTATTTAATAAATTCAATCGAACAGCAGAGAAAGATACAGCCCAAAGATGTTTATGTTCCTCAACCACACTGAACAAGCTTTGTTCATTAAGAACTGCCATACTGAACTTACAGCGAATCTTTGAATGCAGTTTTCCCAACGGATTTCCGAAATACAAATTTGGATCTGCTGTGAAGATCATATCCAGGATTTTCACTTCATCTTTATCTGATCCTTCATACTTAGGCAGGAAACGCTGAAATATGTGTCCCGGTTATTTCTAAATAACACCATGCTACATAAAACTGGTAAAAATGATCGCAAATGGCATGAAATTGCAACCTTCAGGTAATTTTGTGTGTCGGTGCAAAGACTTCGAAATGCATGTTTGGTTATTACAGCCCGAAACATGGTTTCCTGAAAGAATATATTGAAAGTGTTACAAAATTAACGTGTACATCAAACAATACATAAGACCATATTGAGCAACCGGAACTTATCCAAATTATCTAATCTGGATATGTAAATCTGATGAGTACACAACAAACCTGTTCCACAATGACGGTCGGCACTTGAACAATCTCACCGCCTAGACATAATCGTGAAAAGTGTAAGTGTGATCCATTTGCCTTGTTCATCCCCGAATAAGTCGGGTAATTGTTCGTTCCTGTTCTCAACATCCTTCAGAACAAAGCTTACAATAACACATTCAACTGGATCCTAAGTTTTTTCTCTTCCGCACGCTGCGCGATTGATGTCATCTCTAACAATAAAGATAAACCCCGTGAAATCCGTACCCTCCTTCATTCGACCCATCCAATAACAATATTCAGCGGCTGGTTGGTGGTGGTGGTTATTGTAAATATAGGGGATGGATTCCATTTGAAAATGTTGAGGAGTATTTCTCGTGTGTTTCAGATTTGTTAGTTATAAAGTTTATTTCTAGACTAGACTATCAAACTCCAGCGAAATGGACGTGTAGATTTTTATAACGGAAATTATGTCCCGGCTTCTTTTTTTCTTTATTTCATGCAAGCAATCAACCGAAAAGGTTTTAAAGGCAGCTTCCATTCCACTTTAGTGGTTCTTTGTATAATTTTTTTTGGAGAAAAGATGTTCTAATATTTACTGCGTCCAGCTCATCTCCTATACTTTAGCCTATATTATCGAGATCAAAAGTACCATGACATCATCTGCTGATACTGAGAAACGGTGGGTGACGGATCTAGAAAATCAAAATATTGATGGTTCTAGAAGGCTACGACATCTATTAATGACATGTTCGGATCCTATCGATACGATCAAAAATTTTCAGGAACGAAATAGTATTAAGGTTTATGTTATATCATTCAAACATCATTCAAATACAATGCTTTATTATCAGAATAGTTAATTATCGTTCAAAAAACTAATATGAACTCATGCGTGAATGAAATTTGAATAATCGTTGTCATTGTCATTATTTTCCTGCTATATATTGAAAGCCCCACGGTGGTTCATTTCATCAAATGCTACATATTACAGTGATAGTTACCATTTCCAATTCAGAATGGGTAAGTGTTCTTCCTTTTAACAGTCCATGCTCAGAGGAGGGAATGTGTGTGTGTGTTACAGTTCTTTTCATCACATTATAGCCTGTCTGCAAAACTTACTTTAATCGTTGTTTTGCTATCGGTATTCTCGTTACTTACAATTTGATGAATTGTCTATTAAAAAACATCGACATATTTACATATTTCTCACCAAAACTGTAAAGCTCTCTTTAAACTAGCTATTACGACCTAATCTAGAATTTGTTACTCCACATTTTCTGGCTTTCCTTTTATCACTTCACATCATTTCTTTTTAGCTGCCAGCATTAAATCCAGCATTGCGACTGCTCGACTTGCATAATATTCGCAGAACAGAATTTCATGAAGAAGTATATTGTTTTATATTTGAGAGATGGAGTTTGCATTCATGTAACTGGCACATTTTTTCATTCTCTTTATACAGAATGTTTTCAGGCAGCGAATGATATATCGGACTTGTTGCTTGCAAAAATTAGGGATCTAGGTGCTGCAGGAACTATAGAATCAGTACAGTTATTAGAAAAACAACTGGAGAAAAGTTTCAAACTGTATCGAGTTCCTAGCATTCGACCTTTTGTGTTGGAAACACTGAAGCAACTACCAAAAGCACCGGATCGGTCATTATTTGTTGATGTTAAAAAACAAAAGGCATCGGTTATAGGTAGAGAAAGTGTTGGAACTTCATCTTTCACCTTCTCGTTGCGTTTTCTCTGAACCTTGTATTATTTGTAAGGAAAAAAATACCATTTGTTGTTAAAATGTCTGATCGAAACTGCAAGAGATGATTTGCAAAAACTATTCACTGCACCCTAAAAGCTTTTTCCCTCGTATTTCATTATCCGTTATGCCCCTCCAGAAGAACTACTGAGCTGTTTTTCCGGTGCGCATGCAATTTCTCGCTGATATCTTTATGATATGGCAAATGTTTGCCATCCCAAATGAGATTCCCCGAATTGAACTTTTTGCTAGTGCCTGCAATTGATATCATTCGCTCGGTCGCATTTTTTTGGTCGAACTGCATATAGTTAAAAAAACGGCGAGATATGGCCTTACTCTGAAAATTTTTTCTGGACATAACACATGCTTCTAAACAATCATCTAAGCAGGTAGGGGGTCGTAACTTCTTGAATTTTATTTTGCTTAAGTTCTTATTTAATTCATCTTGAGTAGGTTGAATTTAATCAGATACCTAAAAGTGATTGTGACCGATCGGGAATTTTACGACAGTTGTGCGGTTACAGTACGACAACAGATTTGGCTGGAGAACGATTCATTATTCATGGACGCAATACTTCCAGTTATAGATTCTTATATTGATGAAAAACAAAAAGTTATGCAAATAGTGGACCAATCACCAACGAACTACTTTACCTGTGAGACAACCAGATCTAGACGACAGTGGCCGCAAATTTTAGGTGAATGATATCGATTTTTTTTATCTCAGAGATGAAATATGAGGTGAACAGTTCTTCGATCGATATGCATCGTAAACTTAGTCGTAGTGTTCCAGGAATATAATTTACAGAGTTAATGGCAATTGTTGGTCAGCAGGAACCCTTATATCGGCGATTGAACAATGTCGTCCGTGAACGTTTCCTGAAATCTGCTGATGCAATATATTGTTCATTGCGGATGGAGCTTGTGATGTCTGCTCATGATTTAAATATTGAATCTGTAATCCGATCAGGTTGTCAAAATATTTGGGCTGAAAAATAGCTGTGGGGAACAGTATTAAAATGTTTTTATTCGTTTCCATTTTTAGATCCTTGTCATGATTTGGCGTGGTGTTTGGATGCATGTGTCAGAGACAAACATTTGGATGCGCAACAGACGAACAAACTGAAAAATATATTGGAATCAACGAAGAAAACTAAAGCAGAGGTTTTGTATATGATATGATTTTTGATTTAGATCGTATCTAATTTTCCATTAGATCTAGTCTTATTTAGCTTTTATGGAAGAGTATAAATAATCTATCACTTTAAGCTTTTGACTTTTTCAGTTAATTTGTTAATCAGACTATGATGTTTGACTATCTGAACTTTTTAACTCAATAATAAGTGGAAATTTTTCATTTTGCTTGAAAGTTTCAGAAACATGCGCACTTCAGTTCCAATATTCCAAGTGTTATCGCATTTTGTGTACCGACATTTACTCAAAAATCTTAACTTTTAATTATTCTTTTTTGTTCTCAGGTAACTGGTGATTTAGCAATGATTGCTGGTGATGCACATGTTATACATTTCTTATGCTCAATGGCCGTTAAAGTATTGCGCGATTCAGCTTTGCATGCTACTGGTCAATTACCGAGAGAATTGATTCCCCTACAACTTCTTCTGAGGTTCCGTTTGAATAGATTTTGAATTTTTTCACTGAAGTCGTGTGATATATATAGTCCTTGTACTTTCAGATTATTATCATTTGGAGCGTCTGCACACAGCATCTTATCAGCTAATGATGTGACTGTCTTACAGAATATTGACCCTCTCATTTTCACCAAATTTCTGGCTTCTTTTACAACACTTATGGTAGAAGATGTAATACGACATGAGCTCATTCGGGCACCAGGTAAGTGAACTGGGTTTTATATAATTTGATTAGAAGCTATGTATAATGGCTAGCAGCAGTGCAATGAAATCCTTAAATCACTGAAAGCAATGTGAAGAATGTCACGGAATTGAAAAAGTCTGGCTGAGAGTTTGGAACATTTTGATTTAAAAATATCAAGTTGACTGAAATTGATTCAAGATTTTATGTCTTGCTATACTCTAGACTGCCTTCTTCGGTATTTAAATTGATTTGACAAAATTTGATTATCTTTATTGGTATGACATTTCGGATTGGTCACAATTTGTAATTGGAATTTTTTATAGATGAAATTATTGACGAAAATCCAGCAAGTGACTTTCTTTCTGATCCTTCTGAAGAGATGTTGAGTTTTTTGAAAACGGATGTGACATGTGCGTTACTTTGGATTCATTATTTTTTGGATGTTCTTCCAAGCAAGCGTCGTGCTTCAGATTTACCGGGCATTATGCGTTATATGAAAGCATTACCTGGTTTAAAATGCAAGGTGCGAAGTCCTAAGCGAAATAGTTTTGTTACTACTTTAGTGTATTCTAGATTTCTAACAGTTAGTTCTAGATTGCCTTTTGTGACCCATGGATGCATCTGATAATTCATCGTTTGCTGCAGTCAGCATCGTCTGATCATATTTTATCAACTGAGCAAGGATCGCATTTCATCGTAGAAGAATATCTGTTGAAGGGAGTGGATGTAAGCATTTTTGCATGAATTGATTGTTTAGCGCGATCTAAATCTTGACTGACTATCACATTCTGATTTTAACGTTTGAAGAAATTTCTTCTAAATATATTTTGCAGAATGATTTTAGGATTTTTTCAATCAAGTTTCATGAATTAGATGTTTTCTGTCGCCAAGTGAGTTATTATCAAATTTTCAGCGTTATCCTGGTGTGAAGTATCACCTTCTACGTATTGTGCATCTGTTATGGTTTTCTGTTGGCGAGTTTCGTAGTCGTCTTATCCTAGACAAAATTGCACCGGAGGTAGGAGACCGTAAGACTATCTTATTTAATACATGACATTGTTATTTTCATTATTTTCTTTGCATACATCGTTTTGTTTAGTTGCAAACCCTTATATTCCTTTTTATTATTTCTCTTAATAACGTACATTAATTTTTCATTTAACGAAATTGTTGAATATTATTATTTTTTACAGAAAATGTTCGAGCTAGACGGTCATGAAGTCGAGAGTGATCGGAAGCGTTACAGTCAGGAATATCACCGTATACGAACAAAAATGACGGAAAAAAGCTCGTCGGCCGATGGATCGATATCGAGTACTTCGCTCAGTACTGTACAGTCTCTTTCAGATAGTTCACTAACACAAAGTGAATGTGTTTAATTTGCATTATTTGTAACATACTGCTTCAATTCGTATCTATATATTTCTTGATTTTTCCGGTATACTCTTGAAATCATTTCTGGGTGGGCGAAATTTTTATACACGCATTTTGGTTCGATTTTCTTTGTAGTGAATTAGAAAAAGCCAGAATCATTGAAACACGGTGTGTTTCCAGAATAATTTTATCCAAGCCATGTGCATTTTGTAATAGTTGATGAGATATAATATCAAAGTCGCATTAATTATTTTGATCGACAGACTTTTGGCGTTGTCTGAAATGGCTTGAAGCTTTCCGAATTTATGTTTTGCTATTTCTTAGTAATGTTTTTTCATGTTTTCTCCTCAAAATTCAATTTTGTCTTATATCTTACTTTGTGTGAATTCGGAGAAGGTGTAAAATAGTGACAGTTTCGCTTATTCTCTCTGTATGTAGCAACCAAGTAGTGTTCACTTGGTTGCGAATCTCTTCCACTCTTTCTTTTTTTCTACCGGATTTAACGACGGGTCTACTTCATTTCCAAATCGAAGTGATTGTTGCAGTTAAGTGGACAAAATAAAATGTTTATGAAATCCAATAATTTACTTTATTTTTGAAGTAAAAGGCAAAATGACTGTTGAAAATGACTGCAATGTGCGATAAATTTTCTTCACCCTGGATTTGTTCTTTTATCCCACGGTTTAACCCATGCTTACCTAACGCTGTCGATGTGACCTATATGATAGAAAATGTATGCACTTTTCCATCGATATCAGATATATTCATAATAGTTTTCTACACCAAATCCAATAAGGGAAACCAACGAACTGGAAATGGACTACAGTGCATAAGATGTAATTTTCTTTGGATTGTCTTTGGTGGGATTTCACCCCGTTCGGGATTTTATGCAAACTTCCATTGTTTTTATACATGGGCCGTATTAAAATGGGGCGAATGGTGGGGGTGAGCTTCGTGTTGTCTTGTTGTTTTGGGTATCTTTGCTTCTATGGTTTTTAAGTTCAAGATTTTTGAAATGACTAGTCGTAGACATACCTTTCAGCTTAGGCTGGAATGCAAGTTAATAACGCAATGGAAAGTGCTAAGGAAGCTGCGGCGTCGGTCACGGAACGTGTTAGCGACTTCTTTCAGGGCAATCCGTTTGCTACTCCGGTTGGACGCAAAATCGGTGATATTATCGTGATATTTGTAGCTTTGTATATAAACTGAGTGACCTAATATTTGTTGTTCGGAGAAATGTGAGTGAGAATGAAAAAGCGGAAGAATTACCTCGTCAAATGAATTTTTTTGTAATTATTTTTGTCCATGTTTGCTCTTTACTATGAGAAAGTCTTAACATTTGTTTCTTTCATATTCTTTTATTATTTCCGTCTGTAATGTCTGTTTTGAGAAAACATTTCTTGTTGTAGAAATGGCAACTGATGCAACTATTTTGGCAACTGAAAATTGGGGATTAAATATGGAAATCTGTGATTTCATCAACAACACAGCAGAAGGGTTTGTGCCTTCTTCCTCCTAGAATTTTGGCTAGTGGAGACAGATCTATTTTTTTCAACTTCTACAGGATTAAAAATTGAGTAAACCATTCAGTCAACTGTTACAGAGGACGCGATGCAATGCGCGCAATTCGTAAACGACTACATTCACAGATGTCAAAAAATAATGCTGTTGTTATGTATACACTAACAGTGTTAGAAACGTGTGTAAAAAACTGTGATATCCGATTTCACGAATTGGTTTGTCAGAAGGACTTTATAAACGAACTTGTTAGGCTTCTCGGTCCAAAGTTTGATGCGCCCCAAGTAATACAGGAACATGTTCTCGGCTTAATACAGGTTATTTATTCAACCACTTTGATTTATATTGGCTGTTCGGTTCATACAAGGCTAATTGCTTGATTGTGTCTACTATTTCGAATGCTCTTTATTTTGCGTTTAATGGGAAGAGCTTGAGAGAAATCATTTTTTAGTAATTCTAAGAGTATAAATGTATAATCAGTGTTCACCGTGTTTTTATTCATCAGTGTCCACCATGTTTTTATTCATCTCATGGTAATAAAATTGGCAAGAGATTCATGTTTTTTGTAAGTCCCAATCAGAAACTACGGAAAAAATTTCAGTCATGGAACGATGTATTTCAAGTTGATCCACGTTTACAAGGTGTTTGCCAAATTTACAATGAACTGAAAGCAAAAGGCGTTCAATTTCCCGTTGCAGATCCTGGTTCGGTGGCACCAATATTGACCCCCAAAAGAGTAGGTTTATTATTATTCATCATAGGTGTGAGGACAATACCCTCTGGAAAAAATGTTGTGCAATTTTTCATTACTGATAAAAATTCTTTCCTGTGCCACACGCGTCGTCCTTTTTTCATCCATTGCATCTTTATCTTTAATTATTGTTAATGCACTTGGAAAATCAGTGGATGGAATAAATCTTGTTAATTAATGGTGATTAATTAAATATGAAGTTTGTTGATTCCTTTACACTTTTACACAAAAGTCTTTTTTTTTACTTGACTTTTTATCCACAACTTTTTTCAGACTGTGTTTTCGGTAAAAAAACCAGTGGCTACTAATGTTCAAGATGATACAGGACAGCGCATGTTGGTATGTAAAACTATTTCTTTCTCAACTTAATTATTAGCATACTTCGGTTAATGCTGCAGTATGCTAGATCATTCATCACGTGGACATTTGAATTATTAGTAGAACTTAGGTACGGTCTCATGGTAACGAAACGTAGAAGTCTGTTTTGGAGCTTGTTTAGTTCCTACCTCCATGTACTCTTAACGTTCCAAAATTCGGTCACTTAGTTGTTTATTTTATCTGACATCACTGAAGGATATGCAGAACGCACCGGCTTTCAGCAAGGAGAATAATAGTTCTTTTAAAATATTCATCTTCCATTATCCAGATTTGCTACATTACTCAGGAAAGATATACTTAGCATTTTCACATGTTTTCGAAAGTTGTTGTTCTCAGCGCTGTGGCTGAAATAAGGTTGTGCTTTTTTTATTAGAAAAATATAGTGCTTTGAAGTTTCCATCATCCATGAATCACAATGTTTGAGATTAACACATATTCAGTCTTTAACCAAGTAGATAGCTTCACTGAGATAAGCGCTATTCTCATTTCACTTTTTAACACCCTATGCTGCTGTTATATTTGACCACACATTGTTGATATTAAATGTTATTTCATAAGCATTTATGAGATAAATAGATGTACCAATGCTTAAATCAACGAGATCAGCCGTTATGTTCTTATGCTCACTTTGTTAAACACCATTTTGGATGAGTTTTTACGATTTTTACGATTGAAGTTATGGGGGCGAAACTAATTGGACCATAGTGGTTTATTACTTTAACTTCTTCGTTCCAGCAAGTTAAAGTTAATTAATATATAACATCGAAAAGTTTGCTGAAGTATTATTGGCTTAGAGAAATTGCAAGCAGCTTACTTTTGTTGATTGTATGAACGCTAATAACTTCAACAACTCTTCTCTAATCTTATAAATAAATATATATATGCTAATTTAAAATTTTATGGTACTTCAGTGACATCGACAATTAACATTTTTTTCTGTGGAACCAGGAGACAGAACATCATGGGCAGGTCTCATGTATGTTGGCGGCAAACAAGCTTCTCTGAATGGTGGCAGATTTTACTGAGAAAATTAGCTGAACTGATCTCAACCTTTTTAAAATTCGTGAAAGAAACTTTCGGCAGTTCTATTTTCGTGTCTTAGAATGTCATCAGTAATCCAATTTATTATTGTTCAGAATCCCGAATCACAGAACTTTGCTGGTCCGTCGCAGTCTGTGCAACCCACACCAGAGCAACTGGATAAATTACGCAAGGAACTCGATGTAGTAAACGGCAATTTGAAGGTAGCATATATCAAAAAGTTCTTGTGTGTGTGTGTGTGCGTGTGCGTGTGTATGTGTGTGTGTGCGTGTGTGTATATATATTAAGGTTTGAGAAATGTTAAAAACAACATGGGAATGTTGTTTTTAACATTTCTCAAACCATGGGAATGTTAAAAATTCGAGATTTTCATAAACTATGTGAAATTCAAATAGATCCAGAGTGGTCGTGTGCAAAATTTCTTTGCATGGTTTATATGTTTAATTTCCACCTGTTTGAGGTCACAATAAAATGCGTTTTAAATGCTTTTACTTCCTGCCAGCTCTCGTGGGAAGATTTGGTGCTAAGTGCTTTGTGTACTCTATTTAAGGTTATGCGGGAATTATTATCTGAAATGGTTCCGGGGAAAGAGGCTCCGGATGACTTGCAGTTATTGGATGAATTGCATATTGTTGTAAAGCAGATGCATATAAGAATCCAAGACCTTATTCGTTCCGTTCAGAATGATGAAATTATGTGTAAGTTCCTCTTCTTTAAACGAATACAAGTTGTCGCGTTTTTGCAAACAAGCTATATTCAGTTGATTGCGAAGTACTGAAACCTGGGAAATGAATCCACAAGTCTCCTCTTTACATTCAACCGCTGTTTTTATTTATGGCATAGAATAATCCTGGTGAGAATCAGGTATATCTGTCGATATTAGCAAAGTTTATGACATTCAAGAAATGGAAAAATTGAAAAAAAGATGTAGCTGTGATTGCAAAGTACTATAAGGCGGAATATGTGTTTTTTTAGAGCTTAAACTGAGGATGTGCTCTGCATTTTAGATAAATTCTAATTATTGCGCGATAATTTCAAAGTGACATCTTAAATGAGCGTTAAATGTATGTTTTAATTATGCCTTATATTATGACAACGCAAGAATTCAATGGGATTGAAAATTCTTATCTTTTGAAGTGGTAATAGGTAGTAATACCGACAGTAAGATGGAATTATAGATGAGTTTCAGACGAACTGCTGATGGTAAACGATGATTGTAACAATCTTTTTGAAAAATATAATCGCTACATGGTCAATCGTGCATGTGGTACGAAAGAAAATGCGGGTTCGGAGAGCAATTTGATTGAACTAGATGACCAGACATTGAATCAGCAGCTTGATGCATTGAAAATTTCTAATGCTTCTAATTTTACCGGGTAGCATCTTTTATTTTTCTAGAATACGGCACTAAAGATTACTTCATTACTTCCTCAGGATTCGATAAAGATATTTCATGACAACGTAATTCAGTAATAGGAGCATGTGAATCGACTTTTAAAGGATCTGCATACAATCAAATCCGACGAACGATGTTGCTTTACCTCGGCATACACTTAATTTTTCAAATTGGGATCATTGATCCCAATTTTAAGCGACTGGCGCTATTGCGCAAGCAACTTCTTTTGGAGGATGATTAAAATTAGGACAACGAAGTAGCCTACAATTATTCAAAGAGATATAAATTTATGCTCGGGAGTGGTTCCAAAATGCTTTAAAGGGCAGAAGATTCTGGTATACGGGAGCAAACTGGTATCATTCAACGGGCAGTGATAACAAACAAAAATGCTCCAGTTAGTGACAGAGAAGCAGCCGAAATGGCGGAATGGTTAGAAGCTCAAGAAGGCAAGAAAGAGAGTGCTGTCGCTTCTTCTGTAACAATCCCAAATGGTATGTTTTTCCCCATTATAAGCTTGTTAGACTTACTGATCTGTAATAGTCCACGGTTTTGGTGGAATTCTTGAATTTCTGCGGTTGGACCTGAATTTAAATTATAGAGGGTGAAACACCTCTGCACGATCAATCAACATCGAAGGACAAAGCGAAAACGACACTTTAACTCTCCAGCTTAAATACACTTTTTCTGAATAAGAGCTATTAATCAACTTATGTAAATACAAGTTCCATGTCCTATGATATTGTTCGATTTATATTCGGTGTATCTTATTGTAACTCATTCATACATATAATGGTATTGTCTTGTGCGGTGAATTGATCGTGATGGAACTTATTTCGCAACTATTTTGTCTAAGAAAAATATACGAAAATTTTCGATTTCAAGAAATTCTTATAATATTGTTCTTAACAGAGATTATCAGAAACATCGGAGGTATCCATCATCTAATACAATTGTTCTTAGACCATGTCCATTCCACTCTGACACCGAATGATCATGCAAGACCTACAGAGAATCAAATTATTCTGCTTAATCCTCAGTTACCAGACCTCAGCCCTAAATTTAGGGTCGTATTTGACGACTCTTCCACATGTCAGTATAGCATGTTACATTGAGGTAGCGAATGGAGATTCGTAAGGTGTACAAGCAGAGCAAGTTTTATTTACAGAAGCACATTGTGCACAATTAAGAGTGAAAGAGCTGAGAAGCTTCAGCTCTTCATGCATCTTCGATGAAATATCAGGGTTGAATGTGGGTAGCATGCGGCATCTTCATTATTGATCGGTGCTCCGCACATAGTACATATTGTTCTTTCATCAATTTGAATATGTAGATGAGCGGCTTTCAGTGCTTCCATTGAGAGTACTTTTAGCGCTTGTACCATAGCCAGAAAAATGTCATTTATTTCCATTTGGAAAATTGAAATTTTTGCTGGTCCTCAGTCAATGAATGAAAAGCTTTGAAGGCATGCTGATGTATACCAAATTATTGATAAAATACCTTTTCCTTCAGTTGCTGACAGTGCGATTGGTCCTTTGCTGATAATACGGTACCTTTTGCGAAACAAAGAATTGACGATAATAACCATTCCTTCGGAATATCTTGCAATACTTCAGTCCCATTTGATGTAAAGTCAGGTGCATTCAATAAATTGATTATACGTGATCTGAATTCCGGCTGAGACCTATATAAACATTAATGGAAGAGAAGGGGAACTGTCCATGAATCGATTGACAATTTCGAATTTAAAAAAAAAGACGAGCTCACTTAAGAATAAAGTAGGGGTAAATTAGTACAAGCACTATCAAGTGAAGTTAATTAGGAACTAAAGCTTACGAGACATTTCGCAGATAAAATTTCAGAAGTGTCAATCTCAGAGTGCATTCCGATGTATCTGTATAAATGCAAAATAATTCAGCTGCATCGTAATCTCTGTGATCATTAAGCAATTTTTCCAGGTATTCAACGGAACCTCTTTCCTGATAATTTTTCTTTTAAGAAATCAAGAACTTCCTATTTAAAAATCCTCCAGAATATATCTATAGTCAACCAAATTTTCGAAAAATCATGATCGAATATATCGCTCAAAAAAAGCCAGTGCCTCGAAATATACGATAAATGTTGAAATGTAGTAGGCTTGCCACTTCGAATAATGTTATCTTTCCCTAGTCAATATACCGTTAATGAATCATAAAGCTACCTGAACACCTTCGAGCAAAGTTAATTCGACAGCAAAATGTGGGTAACTCTTGAGAATGGCACGTGTGTTTAGTAAATTTAGCTTATTTGGCTGAAGAAGGAAAACACGCAATCCTCTTCTGCACGATTTTTCACTTTTTTCACCTTCCAACAACGCGTTGATTTCGTCTATGTACATTGAAAATAACAATGAATGGAATTCTACATTCTGTAAAAAAAAAGATTTCAGTGCATCATTACAATAATTTCAATCTATCTCTATATCTAACCTATCTGACCAATAACTTTCTAAGCGCAACATGCTGTCAGGTCCTGTAAAAGAAAATGTCCGGTTACCCAAAATGTTTATAAACAATGCAGAGCATAAAAGAGAACTAAAAAATATAACTTCGAACTTCAAATTATCTTTTATTATCGACATTGGTGGCCAATTTTAATAATAACAAAAATCCGACACTAATTTTTCGAGATGCTAATTGAGAACAAAACTGAGCTGTGCAAAATTTGAAATTTTATTTCTAAATATTGAAGGCAAATACTTCGAGCGACTTAATCCCTTCAAGATATTTGATCAGCGTATTCCGTTCTTGCTGCAAAATTTGCATAACTTTCGAATGATCTAATTTGACTGAGCATCTTCTTAGAGCGTCAATTACATCATCCTGGCGAACTTTGAGCAAGAACTCAACCCAACCTAATATTGTTTGTTCCGAATGAAAGCTGCAAAATTCGGTGAAATTTTTTTGACTTTAAAACACTGAAAATATGTTCAAGATCAATGAAAGAAATACTTGGGTATTCGTGGAGCTGATATTATCAGAATCGAACAAGGAATTCGCATTATAGTTATACACTCATAATCAGACATCTGCTTTAGATGCATACTATGCTAGTCAAATAACCTTGGAAAGAATTGTAGACACAGTTTTGCAATTCCATCATCCCAAAGATTCTCATTATATAATTCTCGACTTATTGCAAGTGCGTTATCAAAATCTAAGAGGCAAAATGCAACGGTAATGAGAAATTTTCGGCAATTATGTTCCCGCATCCATTTATTACAATCATCTAATGTACAGTGAAGATTTAATGACATATCCTCAGCATCTAGTGCATCTTGTCGTAGTGATATCAATCTCAGTAGTATAGCGTCAATATCCTGAAACGAAATCTGGAATTAATGCAGTCTACCATATAAGATTACGTCTACTTGATAATTTACCAGCATTTTATTAAAAATGATCAGACCGCTATTTTTTAACCAGAGTGATAATCTTGCAAATCAGAAAATCCACCAGGTATCCGCTCCGTATCCCAAAAAATTGTCAAATATTCAAAATGCTCTTGGTCATGTAGTGAAACTTCGCAGTTTCCACTCGAGATGCGTCCATGTGAGCTTGTTGCTTTAAATGTCCGAGTCGAACTTAATTACGTGAACTTAATTGTTGGGCATTCGCTTTTATTGAATTATCTGGAAACTAACACCATCCACCCAACTTTCTGAGCTTTGTGTCCAAAAATTAATATTCCAGTTTTTCGGTGTCTTAAGTTTTTAAACTACTTTTAGTTCCATTACCTAAACAACTAATCGTCCACAAAAACGAACTCTCGAATTTTTAACCTTAAATAATATTAGTGGTGCGAATGTTACTTTCATAAATGCATTGCGTACCCGACAAAATCCAACGGTCCAATGAAGTTTTCTGATTGTTCTCAGATAATGTTCCAAAAAAGTTGTAAGTTGAACAGATCTTTCTGCAACAAAATCACCAAAAACTTCCTTTGATAACTTTGAGGCTTCTTTGCTTGGCTCTGATCGAAACCCTGATGGAAACGGAAGCAAAAATCTAAATGATATCAAAACCTGAAAAACAAAAATATAAACAGCAATAAAGAAAACAAACAAGAAGCATAGAACGGAAACAGAGAAAAACTATGTTTAGTAAAAACAAAATTTTTTCCGTATAAAAATTTGGAACTTATTACCGCACGAGGATCCAATTCGGATAACACGGCCAATTCGTAAAATTTTTCAAATTCATCTCGTTTGAAATGCACTAAGGCCACTTTCTGCTTTAACTCATTGAATTTCTGAAAGCACTTCGTAATATTTCTTGTTTTATATCTCTTATGAAAAAATCCTTCACTGGATTTCGTTGCAACTTTACCAGTATTTCTGCCTCGTCATACTGCCCAGTCGAAATAGCATTTTCAGCAAATCTCAATGCTTCATCCAACTCTCCATTATCAACAAGAGCTTCTGCCTTAAAAAAATTTTTTTTCCGACATTTTCTTATGCTTTGAATCTCAACTCGCGACAATTTAGCTGGGCCATGTAACAATCTTTGGATTAATAGCAAAACAATGAGAACAATTTTCGACCAAATTCAATTTATACCCTATCAAGCCACGATATTTCTTCTATATGACTGATATTCTCGCTATTGCAAGCATACAGTTGCCCATCAATACATTCCAACAACGTTCCAGTTGTGAAGGGCCATCTTTGGAGAACAATTGACTGTTCGGAACTGAAAATACTTGTTTAACCTCAAGCATTTTGTATTAACTACTAAATGAACTTGGAATTCTAATAAAACTAATTTTTATCAAGCTTAATCTTCAAAAAGAACCTGTAAACGATAATCGATGATGCTGTTAGAACAAAGACATGTGGTGAACGATACGCAAATGATAAGATAGAAGTCAAACTCCAGAATAGCGGCGGTCGCGATGAGACACCTTCTGATGTTGCGAAAACGCCTAAGCCTTGCATACCGTTTATCAGAAATTCCTCCTGAAACCGTTGACACTTGTAGTTCAAGAGGTCAGAAATCCATTTCCTTGGTGGCTCAACTTTCGTAAGGTTACGTCAAGCAAAAAATTTGCTTACCGCATCTGTGTTTATAATGATAGGACGTATAGCCTGTGAGTCGTACGGGAACAATGACAGAGTTTTATTTTCTAGAATATTATAAACAAAATAAGCATTGGGCAGAGCATAGCATACGCAATATTTATTATACGATAAGGCAACCACATTGTCCTCAGTTCGTATCTCTTGTTGAATTATCAAATTGTCCGCTCTGCTTTCACAAACCAAAATGTAGCGATTATTCTTAACTAAAGCAAGTTGTAAAGCAAACGGATCTGCTACCACAGGATCCTTATTCAACGCCAAATGAGCTATATTTGACACCGTACTTGAGCTAATTGGCTGAAAAATATTCAAATTCGAACTAATTTCAACTCAGCTGAGTAAAATCCAATTCATTTCAATACTTCTATGATAGTTACAACGCGATCGGAACTCTCGAAATTAATAAGTACATCGAGTAATGAATACTCATTATAGATGTCATAAAGCTCTTTAAATTACTGAAATATCATAGTTCTTTTTGCTGACGCTAATTGGTAAGCAAAAAAAAATACTGCCATCTGAAATATGCGAAGACGTTAAATGCATAATAATCATGACGAAGTATCAGCAGTAAACCCAAAATCTATATAAAATAACATAATTTTTCAAGAATTTCTATTTCTTTTTCCTCTCCTTCCTCTTCCTCAAAAAAAAAAACGTTTTTCAAGGAAAGAAAAAATTGTGGATGTTTACCTTCAATGTTTTTATTTCTATATTAAAGAGAGTGAACGCTGACAGAACAATAAGATAACCAGGCGCTGTGGCAGCCACTATTCGTGCAACGGAAGCATTCTAAAAATATCATTCAAAGCGGCTTAAATTCTAAAGAATGCCAAAAAATTTCCACACCTCTTTTAAATCTTAAAAATCATTACCGTTGAAAGCTGCAACGCATCAATCACACTCTTTGTTGAAAGATCCATAAGCAAAATGCGTCCTTCTGAAGTTCCGACAAATAATGTCCTTGATGTTCCATCAATACAAGTCACCTGATATCAGTTTATACGACATATTGGCAACACTTCAAGGATATAATAACATATATTTTGAAATTCAATTACAAACCTTTTCATTCGGTGCAAAAACCGAAACCGTTTCAAAAATATCAATTAGTCGATAATATTCATCCACCATATAGCAGCTAAAAAGAGATCACTGAAAATTATATGAAATTGCCAAGCTTCGTATGAAGATCGATATGCAATTACGTGAAATAATTATTTACGAAAAAGTTCGAAATTCGCATATAGAGAAAATTGCCAAATGAAGAAAATTTTATTTTAAACAGATACAACCCCAAGAAAAGAGAATAAATTTGAGAAAAACAAGACTGAAACAAACGAAATTTGAAGGCTGCGATATCCAGCAGCACAAAAAATTCTTATATAACATACCTAAAATATCAACTTAACTTTCATATTCTTGCTACACCTACTCAAAATTTGTAATGCATACACAACTGCACACAATGCACGTCCACTCCCCATGTTACCAATTGGAAGTACTTACAACGCGGAATTTTTCTTATTTCACTAATACTAAAAGGTAGAAAGAGAGCACCAACATAAAACAAAAATTGAGACAAGAACAAGTTAAACGTCAAGAAATTCAAAATCTCATAATGAAACAAAAACATAAAGCGAACAGAACCCCTATAAATGAGGATATAATGGCCAAACAAAGAAAGACAACAGCAAATTCATGTAGTTACGAGTAACACGGAATGATCACAGAATCGGTATAACTTATGCGAAAAATAGGGGCAAGAAGAAAAGAAATAATAAGCTCTACTAAATACATTAAAGCCTGACTTTTCAGAAATGTAGAATTTTCAAAATGCATCCTTCATTTGATGAAAGGGACGCACGGCCAAATCCACTGGTAGATGAAAATTATATTTATGAAGACGTTCCAGCAACTGGTAAGTGTCCTTACAGCCTGTAAATTACTCAGTTCATTGATATTTAAATCATACGAATAAAATGTGAGAGTTTTGGGATCTACACTCATACACATTATCATCGGAGCATTTAGAATACGCCTCTTAATACTACCGAGAAAGCATATCAAGTTCGACTGCCCAGGCATCTTCCAAACTTGTCAACCATCAATCTATTTTGCCTTATTTACTCGTTGGATTACCAACTATTTTGATCATCTTTTACCTAATCAAGCAGTATCATCGTAGCATTCTTTAATCTTCCGGAAATATATGCTATCGTGCTTCGATGCTACATGCTCCCGAGCTCTGCTACTTCTATTTCAAGGCGTGAGATTAACTGAAATTCGTGATAATCTCATCCTTAGTTTTTTGTTGACTTCTTGAACATTGAGATTTTTGAAACATTAAAATACCTGTTCTAGCTACATAAGACCACGGTGTAAAACACTGCTCAACAATCTCATCGCAGAAAATTGTCTGTATCCATGCTGGCAACTTTCTCTCATTCAGTGCCGCAGACACTAGAGCCTTCCACATTGCATCGGACGAACGTTTCAGCCGACTGTGAGTTGAAGTAATATTTTCGATGGTTGACAGTAAAAGCTATAAAACAGAGCTAAGCATTACGTTTCAAAATAATTTGCAGTTAAAATGAAAGCTGCGAATGAGAAAATTAGTTACAAAAAATCCTTTGATTTCAAACCAGCATGGACTATTTCAGTTTAAGTGAAATAAACACCAATTTTACAGTTCAAAAGAACTGAATTTCAACCTGCTTTGATGTCACACTTCGACCTGCAATCACATCGAGTTGATAACTTTGTGAAAGGCGCCGAATGGGTGCATCGCAGTATTTACTACCGAATTTCGAATCATAATAATACATCACAACATCCCAAACGTGTTCCAACTTCCGCGCTAAATTTTTTTATCCGAAGTTTATGTTATATAAGGAAAATTTAACTTAAATAATTCAATGCATCAGTTATGCATCATACAAAAAGCATATATGTACCATACAAAATGTATCATACAGGGATATGTATCATACAAAAAGCAGTATCAAGTACTGTAAAAATTTACCATTATTACTTTTTGCAGCGCGCGAACTTCCAGGATAGCAGCCCAAAGATGTGAAATGAACAAAATGCTTGACAACGTTATTCATACCATGTTCCAAAAGATCACGTATAGCAGGACATAATTGCTTTCTAATGACGGCAACTATTTCTTCTTCGCTACGTTTGAAAACCTTAATTTAAAAAATCATGTAAGGGAAGCAATATCATTTGATTCTACATAAAAAGTAGATTTTGTTAAAATCGTATTATGAGTAGTGAAATAGTAAATAGTGGGTGAATTGCAATGCAGTAAATTAGTAATTTCAGAAGTAATAGCAGCATGGCAAAAAGATTATCCCAAATTAAAAGATAATAATTCGGTGTTATTTTCACTGCCTAATTGGATTTCAAATTTGCATTGCAAAGAAAATATGATAAAGCAAACGGTAGATTACCACTACTCCGTTATCCTGTAGTAATTAAAAGAACCTAAGCAGCTCTGAGATTCATAGAATAGCGCTCAGGAAGAAAAATGACACAAAATATAAAACCTCATCATATGATTTACTAAACGACTCAGCATGAGACGTGTCTGTATCCACCGAAAGCAGAAGATATTTCTCCATCACTTGAGTTGTAGCATCAACTGCTAATTCTATCCGTGCTCGCTCATCACTAAAATTATATCTGTTGACCATTTCATCACTTTACAGAAAATGGGAACGTTACGAATATAAAGTATGATTTTGAAAACACTTGCCCATAATGACTTCCTTGTAGTGTTTGCTTCAGCTGATTACGCTCGAATTTCTGGTTAAATTTGATTAAATTCATGAATGAACTCTTCTTCGCCGGTACAACGGGCAGCGAGGCAATTGCATTAGGTAGACGCTCGCTGGCTTCCGTTTGCAGAAAACCAATAAATCGTTCAAGATCGACAATCTGCGCTTGCAGCTGTTCCACTAATTGCTCTTTCGCTTTAATTGGGTTCACAAGCTAAAGATATATCAATGCAAATATATATACCATAGAGACAAAAATATATTGAAACATAGTAGACAATTGTAACATCTTTTCTGCCAGTCTCAAAATCTTGAATCCATGAACATAAAAAGTACCTTTTTCAACGCTTCATCAACTTTTTTTTGCAAATCACTTTGGGACATTCTATCCAGTTCTAGATCTAATTGTACTTTTTCATGAAGTTTGTCGATAACTGCTTTCTAAAATAGAGCACTTCTCAGGTCACATCAAAATAATTCCAATTGTGTTACTAGCATGATAAATAGAATCTATCATACGAAACACAAAGAAACAAGGAAATAAAGTGAAAAGTGCAGCTAGTGAAACAATAGTGGACAAACTGAACAAAAGCAAAACACACCTGCCTAGCCATGACTTCGGCACTTGGAAGATCGCCGCCACCGCTTTCATAAGCATACTTTTCCAAATCTTCTAGTTGCTGTTTTAAATGAGCGATGAGTATCTTTTGTCGTTCCTTTTGCTGATCTACATCACATCTTTTACCATTATCTATCACCGGCGAGCACTTTTGTTTTTCTAATCTCAAATCGGTGCAACCCCGGAAAGCAAAATCTTCCAGTTCTTTCAGCAATCGCTGCAAGTTACTGCTCTGCAGAATCTTTGAGGATACTTTTTAGTGCATAACAATGAATAATGTATAATAATAATAATGAATAATGAATAATGTACAATGAATAATGTAAATTTACCAAGGTAAATAATAAAAAAAGTTGAGAAACCTGTTTTTTTTTTTCAATTTTCTCGACTCAAAAAAATTTAGCAAAAAATATAGCTTCAGGAATTCGGAATTAAAAAAAGAAACAGATTTACATCTCTTTCAGATGCATCTGCCTTACTGATCTGTTTCAGACGAAATTGTACTTGTGCAAAATGTGTTGATAAAGATAGGAGTGAACTGTTCAGACGTTCCTGCTCCTCTTCAAGTTCCCGAAAACGGGTTTCTTCATCTCTGGAATAAACCGCAAAGGGAGCATGACCAATTAATTCATGATGAAAGCCCGAAATTACGGAACACGAATAAATTTTCCGGCACCATTATCAAATAAAAATTTGCAATGAATGCGATAGCTTTATAAAGTGAATGAGGCAAAATGTCTTCGAAAAATCAGACCATCCTAAAATTAATCATTAAATCACTTCTCATCTACTAACAATAGATCAAAATTCTTTAAAAATAATAGGTAAAATTCAAAACTCACAACTGTACAGCTTGCAACTCATCCGAAGATTCACCGACTGGAGCCCATCTTTCCATATCAATTGATTCCTCTACAAAAATCCGAAAAACCTGATTAAAGAACTGGGGACTTTTAAATTTTCAGTCACAAATATAAATAAAGTAGAATACCTTTAGATAAAAATTCCTTGAGAAGAAAATTAAAATTTGAAGTAATTGAAACTTGCCATCTGAAGTGCTGGGTGCCAATTTAGCGACAAATGTTGAAGGCAACTCGCCAATCATCATTTTCTTCCTGACAATAAAATATTAATATCAATCATGGACCAAAATATCTTGAAGTTTTTATAAATGATTTGAGACATAACATAAAGACCATAAAGCAAAGTGATGAAACCATCCTGTTCCCCAACTTTAAAATTTCTCCAATTTATCTTTCTCCGAACACAACCTAACTCAGCATAACCCACAGCACACTACTTCCTATCGGACTACTCGCAACGGTCCCTGGCTCAAATAAGGCTTCGATATGAAACATATATTTACCATTGCATGGCAGTTCTTAAATTTTGGTAGTGTTTCTTCTCTTTTCAAGTTTCAAAACAGTAATTATGAAAAAATAGATATGAGAGAACTATCATTCATAGAAGCAAAGGATGGACGAATATTTACAAAATGAGCATTGAAGGGAATTGATAGTATTTTATACTTCGAATAGTAAGGAATTACATTACATTGTGTTCAAGTTGTTAGAATGGAGAATATCGATTTCGGTTGTAAGAATTGTTTAATGTGACAAATCTCTTATCAATCAATGATGGTTATCCATTTTCTTCATTGTTCAGCTTCTTTCTTTTCCTCCTAATGCATTAACAACTTGTTTAATGTAATCAACTTTTGTTGAATGTCAACTTTTATTGTCACAAATTAAATGAAATTTACTATACTTTTAGGGAAATGTTTAATGATATACTTTTAGGGATATGTTTAATGATATGTGCTAAAATTAGTCATTTTATAGGCAGCGTTGACGTAAGCAATGATGAAGAATCTTATTAATATGTTTTAGTTTAAATTCGATGAATATCTCATCTCCATTCAGAAGTGGTAGTACCTAGGAAGTTCCGGAAGTTCCAAACAAAATAAAGAAACACTGTCTTTGCCAAAAAGAAACTTGAGACGTGTCAAAAGAAGATTGAGTTATCGAAAGCCTTTAAGTCGAATTAACATAATATTTAATAATCAGTGTGGTAGGCCTTTCCTAGGTGATATTCTCCTATATAATCTGATATATAAAGTGATTTCATTAATTCCACCATCCCACAATTTTATGAACACAGATTTCGATCAGTATTTTCAATTAAGCTCCAGGGAAGAAATAATATGAAGTCACTAAATAAATATGATTTAAATGCTACCCCGCTTTAGAATTTTATAAACACCACTTTGATTAGCTTCAGGAAGCAGAAAAATTTTCTCTATTCTACACTCTACACTGCATGTTATTCTGCAACAATGAAAATTGGTGATTTAAACTGCCGTCAGAAAACACGTTCTTATGTACTCTTTCAAAAAACCTGTACTGCAAATTGCTTGCGGTATTGAAAGATTTGTAAGAATTTTAATTTTTTAAAAATGCTATAAAAATTTGAGAGAAAAACTGATGATGTCAAAATTCATGCTTACTTACTGAATAAATCTTGTGTAAATGATTGCGAGAAACGTAAATTTTTATATGATTCTTTTCTGCATGAACAATTTTTTGGAATAACATAGTTACTCAATTTAAATGAACAGTTAAATTAAAGTGGTTTGTCCGATTTCTTAAATGTTGGAATAAATTTATAGAGATCTTTTTAACAATAAATAGTGACGGATAAATAGTGTTTGAAGACATCACATGGCCGAATTACGGAGATTTAGTCGGTGAAGTTTGGTATAGGATGACCTATTTACGCTTTTCCATCTATCGATTTAAGAAAACACAAAAACACAGCATAAGTGAACAGATTAATGTTATGGTTTGGGCATTTATTGAGTTGAATTTAAAATGAATCCTAAAAGCACGAACAAATTTTGAGTTTCATTGGAGCACACAATTTTGTCGAAAGCAACTGTGCAAGGAGACATCCAATAATATGGTTAAATTTTAAGAAGAAAGTGCAATTCGTTTCCATTTAAATTCAGAATAGTTTACTGATGCATCGATTAAGTATTCTAACGCAGATTCCACATCGGTGATTGGATTGGATATTTTACTCATATTGAAGTTTAACTTTTGCATGTGGATTCTGAGGCTTCTTCATGTCAAAAGGTCAAACGTAGAGGAAGTCTGTTTCCATCGAAATTTTCCAAAAATTTTGCTAATTTATCATGTTCAATCCGTTCTCTGGAATAATTTTTCAACAATTTCGAAACTGAAATAATGGTGAAAATGAATGAGAAGTTATGATCCCAGAGCATTGAAACTACATCCTCGATCTCTATGCTTCCATGACAACAAACGTGAACATACCGGAATTCAAAAGAGAGGAAAACGGAACAGTGCGTAATCGTCCTCACGCAAATTCCGTCCAGTAGAGCACAACCAATGATTCCGCGAGGGTGTGTCATGCTCTTTATCCAATGGGCGAACAACACACAATGCACTATGCGTCAAGGATAGGGAAGGGGAGGGGAAAAGATGAGTGGGTAGGCTGTTATCAAAGCGACGATGGATAGGTGTCGTGTTGCGCTGTGCAGAAATCATTTGCTGTTTCAGGTCATGTTCAGGTTGGTCGTCGTCTTTAGTGTGTCGCTTCAGTTTGTACTGCACCCCTTGGCTCAACAAGCAAGCGTAGAGGAAGATGAAGGAATTCTCGTCCTTACAAAGGTTAGTTCTTACGAAGCGTTATCTTAGAGTGATCAGCTGTGATCACTTCGCCTCTCATATAACGTATCTCCAGTACGAGACTCATTCATTACAGTTTTATCAGTCAATATTTCATTACAATTTTATCATTCAATAATGCTCCAAATTTTTCTCCGTATTCTCTTCTCTCTCACATAAATTTTAAGGAATATGCAATGCTTAAGAGATATTCTTCGCGATTATTCAGTATGGTGTAGTAGTTTTTGAAATTAAATTCACAAACACATACATTTTCTACTTACTGGTATCATTTTTAAACAAAATAACTTTTTTAAAAAGTTGTAATGTTTAAAAAAACTGAATTACCATCTCGTTTTTTTCCACACTGTCTGACATCAATCAATGAAATGCAGAAAAATGTGTTTGAAAATAGTTTCCTGAACAATGCTTGAACAGGGTAGTTCAGAAAATTCATCGATTGGCCAGGTTTTCAAACTAGACGTTTTCTAACAATCCTTATCTACATCAATCCGAAATTTCCTTGAGCGTACACCTTTCTTTATTTCTGATTAAAGTATCTACCTTATCCCTGTTTAGTCTACCATCAGTTTTATCCATTTCATATTATTCTTCCTTTATAAGCAATCCTTTTCTAATAGGACTTTCGAAAATTTTCATATTTCGATAGAAATTTTAGGATAATTTCGATGACACAATAGCAGCACATGAGTTTATTCTGGTTGACTTCTATGCACCATGGTGTGGACACTGTAAAGCTCTGGCACGTGCATATACAAAAGCAGCGCAGATGCTGATGGAAGAAGACAGCCCAGTCAAGCTTGCAAAGTGCGACGCGACCGTGCATGACGAGCTTGCTTCAAAATACGAGGTATGTTCAGTTTATTCAGTACGTTTTATTTTCATATTTACAGGGATTACAAAATTTCCGTTCCCCTTCGTTTTTATATTTGTTTTAGTTGTTTAAATCTTCCGTAAATAAACTTTCTTGTACTTCTTAGGTTTCACACAACAGATCAAACTTTAGTTGGATTAACTAAGATCTTCAATGAATTAAGAAAACTAATGTTGTTGTTTGTCGGAGTTAAAGATTTATAAAGTTTCGAATTGTATGAAGTAGGATATATTTTAGGTGCGTGGTTACCCAACGCTAAAGCTATTCCGTTCGGGTAAGCCAGAGGAATATAGTGGTGGACGAGATGCTGCGTCTATCGTCGCTTGGCTAAAAAAGAAGACAGGCCCAGCAGCCAAAACTATGCTCTCAGCTGATGATGTGAAGGACTTTCAAGAAAACAATGAAGTGTGCGTCATTGGTTACTTTAAGGTACTCTTTGTTTGGAATTTTCTCTCTTATTTTCGTTATTTGCTGTTTTAGTGTACTGTTTGTGGGATACTTTTCAGGACACTGAAAGCGCAGATGCAAAAGTTTTTTTGGAAGTAGCTGCAGGGTTCGATGATATACCATTCGGTATCACTACTGAAAGTGATGCAGCAAAGCAGATTGAACTGGAAGCTGAGGGCATTGTGTTATTAAAGAAATTCGATGAGGGACGAGCCGAATTTAGTGAGAAGTTAGTAGCTGATGCACTTAAGACTTGGATTCAGGTACTTTTCGAATTTTCTGTCGATTTATTAGAGCTGAATTTATAATAATTCAATTAGAACTGAATTTTTTTTTTTAATATTTAAGGAAAAAAATGGACCAATTTTATGCTCATTTCTATCCTTGTTGAAGTGTTCTGTTGTGTCTAGCTGTTTTTTATTTTGTGTACTCTTTTTTTCCCCATCTCATATTTACATAGTCCCATGCATGCTATAAATTACCTGACGTCCTAATAACTTCTACAGACGAAATCAGCTTTAGTTATTTTTAGATCAGTCACTGCTCACCCAAAATATATTGTTTTATTCTCTTCAGTTATGCCATGCTCTATATTAGGAGATTTCTTACATTCCTGTTTTAAATAAAATAGGATTCAATTACATACATGATTAGTAATTTGTAAATAAAAACGAGATTGAACTGTCAGCAATCTTAAGGAGAAGCCATGGTAAACAGTACTTTTCAATCGCTCAATTTGAATCAGAACTTCTCATTTTCAGGCTCAAAGATTACCGCTTGTGAGCGAATTCACGCAAGATACTGCACCAATTATTTTCGGTGGTGACATTAAATCACATAACCTCCTATTCATTTCCAAAGAAAGCTCTGAATTCGAAAAACTAGAGAAAGAGTTTCGAGCAGCTGCCAAGAAATTCAAGGGCAAGGTGGTTTTTTGTAACGCTGATGTTAAATTTTCATGGAGTTGGAATAGCTTTTTGACAGTATGGAATCATTTTCCAGATGTAATATTTTAAGAATTGTGAATGGCTTGTGAATGTAATGGAGTCTTTTATAGGTTCTTTTCGTCATCATTAATACGGATGTAGAAGACAATGCTCGTATCTTGGAATTCTTTGGCCTCAAAAAGGAAGATTTGGCGGCATTGAGATTGATCAGTCTGGAGGAAGATATGACCAAATACAAACCCGATTTCAATGATATTACTGCTGAAAATATTGTGCAATTCACGGAATTGTATCTTGCCGGTAAATTAAAAGCACATCTGATGACTCAGGATATTCCTAGCGACTGGGATAAGAATCCAGTTAAAATACTAGTAGGAAAGAACTTTGACGACATCGCGAAGGATTCTAAGAAAGACGTCATTGTGCTGTTCTGTAAGTTTCTCAGATATTGTGATATGAATTGATTATCTGATGTCAAAATGGGTGATTTATTTTTAACGCTTAATTAATATATTTAAGTATTAGCTTGCTAGGAGGGTAAAGATAGCAGTATAAGATTTTCCATAAATCAACGGAATCTCGTGAACTATTTTTACATTTGTTTGGTTCTCATTAGTTGCAGATATTTTTGATACTGTAGCAAAATTAATTGATTGAAATTTTCTTGATCTGTGCATCCCGTAATTGCTGTTCTCATTTTCTGATGATTGGATTTTACGTTGCACATTTCTTATATGAGCAGAAGATTGCAGATGCTCCATGGTGTGGACATTGCAAACAGCTGATGAAGACATGGGATAAATTGGGTGAAAAATATAAGGATCATGACACTAAAGTGGTTGCTAAAATGGATGCAACAGCAAATGAAGTGGAAGATGTTAAAGTGCAGTCATTCCCAACAATTAAATTGTTCCTTGCCATTTCTAATAAGGTAAATCTTCTCTGAATTTTATTGATTTCATGGAGTTTTTTAATCCTCTAGAGCTGGAGAAGTATATCTACGTCTATGATGCCAGTTTATGTGAATTTTGAATCATTTGTTTCAACTTTGTCGTTGTAAACCTGGTTGTTTAGCAAATTTATTTTTTATCAGCAGCGTTGAAGAACTTCGTTTGTTTTAAGAAGTGGAATAGTAAAGTAACTTTCTCATGTTTATTGCAGGTAATTGATTATACTGGTGAAAGGACATTAGAAGCGCTAACAAGATTTGTGGAAAGCGGAGGTAAAGATGGTGCTGGTTTATCCGACCAAGAGAAAGCAGAGGCCGAAGCAGAAAATGATGAAGAAACGCAACATACTGAACTGTAATGTTGGCTTAGAAACCTCAAATTTGAGGAATTAGTGCTATTAGATGAGAAAAGTCATCAATAAATCAAAAAAGGGTACTACTCCAATTTAAACAAATAGTTGAGTGATTATGAGGTCGTGGAAGAGCAACATCCTGATACTGTTTTTTACACTTACTGTCCAATGACAATTTATTCCTTTTTTTTCCTGTATTCTGCGTCTGCGTTGTTACTTTTGATGGTGACTACAAAGGAAAATAAAAATAACGAACTTCAAAAGATTTCGTTCTCCCCGTCCTTTTTTTGAATATAGTTTGTTATTGATCATTTTTGAAAGGGAATATATTACTGTTATTATTATTATTATTATTATTATTAATTATTGTAGTTGTTGGTTTTTATAAAATTTGGCATGTCTTTTGTTGCGTTTTTTCGCTGTTTGTGCCCACAAATTTTGGACTTGTGATTCAAAAATACTAAAGCAAGATTGTAAAATTAAAGAGCTAGAATCGCTTGTAAAGGAGCATGTCTTCCTAACACATCTCGCTGCTTCTCGTGTATGAATTTTAGGTCATTTGTTATTTAATATAGAGAACCTGCATTTTCGTTTTGCCGACCAAGTAGAGCCATCTTAATATCGTTAATGCAATTCTTTAATTAGTGACTGGGAGTTCTGCATCCACTTGCAACTTCCCCGATCACTGAAAAAATTGTCGCAAATGTACTGCGAAATGATAGAAGCGGTTAATCTACCTTAAACTGTTTCAATCATTTGTGAGGCAGCTCAGTAAAACCAGATAATTCTTTGCGTTCTGCTGTTTCACATGAAAAAAGGGATAAAATGCGCCCGAATTCCGCGACCCATGTGAATATGCAATTGTTTCGATCAAGACTGTAATATTTCTATAGGACTGACTGTAGCTATAATCGTTCGACGTGCGAACGACAACCCACAAATGACGCAGAACAATTCTCTTGTAATTAAATGCATTCCTAAAGTTAAAATTGGCATTTGCTGTTAAATATTACAAAGTGAGTACAAATATGTTACCCTTATTTTAAAACGTCTTGTATGTTTGATTAATCCCAGTGTACAAACAAAAAATTAAAAAACGGAACTGTATGGTTTTGTAAAATAAACGCGGAAACAATGAATGATCCACGAAAAGGTCTCGGGAATCTGCAAATTATTTTAATATTAGAACTCTAGACTTCGAGTCATAAAAACTTCGAGCCATCTAAAAAATGTTTTTGAAGTGGGAGCGTCCAGATATGCCTGATGAAATTTTTGATTTGATTCATATGCAGCTTTAGTCAAAAATGTCAACATTTGCACTTACATTCATATATTTTAAAAGAGTATTATTAAATTCAATCCCAGACACAAGTTGTGTCAAAGTACACCAATACAAATAAAAAAACCTAGTAATACTTGCTTCCCTTGACTGTTAGCTTAATCAACCACAAGCACTTCAAGCATTGCAAAGCACTAGAACAAAAGAAATTTGTATATAAAACACCGTTCACGCAACAATTTCCATTTGTTCGAGCGATCTGAACGGAAAAAAGTTACTATAAATCAGAATAAAAAGTTATACAAATCACTGCTAATAGCATTCAGATTATAAATTGTATAATTGACAATATGAACAGAAAAATACAGACGGAAGAAGAGATATGAACTAATGCAATAAAGCAGCTCACTAACAAGAAAACATGCTAAACCTGTTCAAAGTAACAATATAATGCACAATTAGCATTAATTGGAACGAAACAAGTAACGAAGTGAAAATATGGACGTGAGACCAAATACCACACAATATACCCGAAAGCTATCATTATATTACATATTCATCATAAAAAAGAACCCCAATTATGAAAGTGAGCAGGTCAACAACAAAAGGCAGTCAAGCCTGCTGCAAAAGTAACAGATTGTTCACAAAATGAAGAAAGCTGCTCATTCTCCCCAATCTTTTGCAATTTCTAGGCCCCACGTCCAAGATAACCAATCATGACCATCATCATCGCATACCTGCGATTTCATCTTATAAGTTCCACGATGCAGCATACCTGTAAATGCAATATTAAAACTTAGGAAACGAGCTCCTGATGGGAAAAATTCATAAAATTACACAAACATCTAAAGTTGTGACGGAACCTACTGCAGATAACATCTTTCAGTATTTGAAAATTGGAAAAAATTTAACCAGATGGGGCTTCATCTAATGGTGTAATAAACGACTGCATCTCCATTTTCGGCGCATATGAGCCCATCATAAACGTCTCTCTATCAACTGAAAAGATTAATACAAATAAGTATGAGATTGTCTCAGTACTTGAACCGAATTTCATTTTTTTAAAAATAATTTCTCTGCTGAATGTCCATTCATCATTAATACCAGTGAAAAACTTTCCATTTATTAACACATACAGTGTAATGAATTAGAAATAAGGCTTAGCAACTTAATTAATATCACTTTTTAAAACAGGAAATTCTCACACCTGTTATTGAATGACGCGTAACCTTCTGTATATATTTCAAACCAGTACAAATCTCTCTTTGTACATGGAAATCAAAACGAATCCTATATGCCGCTCCTTCTTTTATTACGAATGATGCTTCGTTCAAATGTTCTGTAATTTCATGCAAACATTGGTACTTCAGTTTGACATTGCGCACTCCGTTGGGATGGAAGGTACATTGGTAGGACTTTAATTCCCATGTAGTTCCACTAGTAATAATGAAAGTACTTCAAACAACATGCAATGGCTGTACGTTCTAAATAAACAAAAATAGAAACATCAGTTATGAAACGGCAAACACTTACCTTTGTCAAGATGCATTGTGATATTCGGACGACCATCGACAACCAGCGTAATGGAACGCACAAGAACATTACGAGGATCAGTTGCATCAACAATCACTTGCCCAGATTTTGTTTGACCCAGAAGTGCTCGTTTATAACTGCAAATCAACAAGTAAGACCTGTTTCGCCCTTCAAACACAGAAATTGCAGTCGTCAAGAACTTCAAATCAATTGTACCATGCTTCCATGTCACTGAAACATATCCCAAAACGTGAGGCATAGAGACTTCCGCTGCTCTGTATTTAGTTCAAGATTTTTTAATCATTTTAACTACACAAGTTGATGCACATATTACTTCAGCCATCCTACAAAGGATTGCAGTACCGAGATATTATATAGCTCTGGACTATTTCCCTGATGAAGCATTTTGTTTTTCAAAAAAATGGAACAATTTTCAAATCAGTTAATTACCCACCGATTCAAACTCTCGTCATTAGCATCAGTTGCAATAATTTCTGAAACAGACTTCTGCGGAGGTGGCATGTAATTCTCCTGTACAATGTTGAGCTCTAAATCCTGGATTTCTTTCTCATCCATTTGATGCCTACAACTTATTACGAAACTCCGTCAACTTTATTTATGCTATTAATTAAATTAAAATAAAACAATTTGACAAAATGAATAAAAGCAATAAGAGGTGGCAAAAACAAAAAATGATCAGCTCAATGTATGCAAACTTGTTCTAAACCAAAAACCAATAAATCAAAGTTGGCATCTGTCATGCTGATGGATATCGCTCAGACAGTTAAATAGTTTGAAACTTCAAGTCTTCGATTCCTAGTACATGGTGGTAGAAGTTGTGATTACTACCTAGGGAAAGAGCTGCCACATGACATGTCGTCATCATGACTTGAAAAATAAAACTCACAGAAGACATTTCAGTTAGCAGAATTACATATGCTGTTAGGGATAACAAGATATTTACGATCTACTAGATTAACTTTACTAATTCGGTTTTTAAATTCCAATTCACAAAAGAAAATTAAATATGGAAGAAGGTGGAAATGCATATAGGCTACAAATCTCTATTTTCCTCAGCCGCCTACATTATCGTTATAATGGCAGTAAGTTGGACAGAAAAACATCTGTTTTCCAACAGTCCATTCAACTGCCGAAGTTTTCGAAGTGAGAATATCATTGAACCTCACCATTTACATACTAACGCTTGACCTTTAAATTAATTAATAGCATTAAGTGAAACGAAATTTGGATGAAGTGCAGGTGACGAAGAGCATTTGGACATTCATAAATGCACTGGAAAACGTCTTTGAATCTTTATTTTGAGCTAACCGTGAACCTAATAATTCTCATGTTAACTAAACTTTACCTTCTACTTTTTAAGTCTGACCTTAGTGATGTAAAACATTGACTACTCAGCAGTGAAAGTGAAAGCGCATTGGTTCTAACACCTAAATCTTTCAAGTCTCTTTACTTCAAATCAGCAACTTCATTAACCAACTACACGATTCCCTCTACCTGTTAACTCGCAGCGCGAATCACACATCATGAATAGTTAACATAACAGAAGAACTATCCAATACGTGCCACACTAAACAATCAAAAGGTACGAATTCTCTCTAGTAAAGAAACACGGCTCGGACGGGTTAATATATTGCTCTTCGTCTCATAGTAATAAGTTCCGGGTGATTCTGGTAGTTGTGTTTCTCTCACTCTGAGTCAGTCCAGGAAGTTGGGTGATTCATATTAGCTCTCTGTTCATTATGATGTACGTGTCGTAACTGCATGCATGATAAAACAGCGTCATTACAGATGTTCTAATTTGGGTTTGTTTTCAGATAATTTCCGTCTTGAATGTTGCTTTATTTACCACTTCGTCGTCGCACCATCTTTCTTATTTTCCGGAGGCTATCATCGACAGTTTCGGATCGAGCTCATGGTGAAGAGAATATTGAAAGGAAACCGACAGATTACAGGTGCGTAGGAATTTAAATGTACAGAAAGCTTCGGTAGGTCTTGTAGAATTATTTCATATCGTCTTGAAAACACTGCTGAGGTTTCATATTTATGCACTTTAGGTTATTTATCCGTTAAGATAATGATAGAAACATCCAAAGCTAGAACTAAGAGGAATACTACTCTCTCTTTCGATATAAAAATGTTTAACAGCGGATATGATATTGTATTGTTTGTTTGCTTAGTAGGAAACGTGTTGTTAATCGAAATACTTCACATAAAACTGAAAGAAATCGAAACATTCAATTGATTGTTGAGTACTGTGGAAGGAAAATTCTCGTAAAGATGAAACTGCAATCCTTGGTGTGCCAAAAGGATAAGATACAATCTAGTGAAGGATGTAAGAGTGATTTTAAGATAGCATATATAAGGACCCTTATATCCATATTTCGTGATTGTTTTAGCATGTTTTTTACACTTTTTCAACATACTTTACTTTATGCCTGGTTCCGATTCTTATGCGTACGAAAATCCATGGCCAAAATTAAACCGTGGTCGTCTGGATTGGCTATTTGGTGATGGCTGGAGAAGGCCACTTGCAAAAGATCAAGGCGGTCAGATTGTTCGTTTTGATAATTATTTGATTTCGAAATATCGATGTTTTTTTGAAATTTTGAAGACAGATAAAACTCCGAATTTCTTGCACTAATGTCTTGGCCCAATTTGTCTCTGAATTAATTTATAGCGTCGTAACTGGATTTGGTTTGGTTTATCTCCCTATGATGAACATGCTGATTGGCTGAAATTTCATCAATACATGTTTGTCTTGTTAACAATAATGGTTACTTGGGTGACGCTGTACTTACTATATGCTGCTCCTGATTGGTTTGTTTTTTAAACATTTCTTTTAATTTTTACGGATGCTCTACTTTATTAGAAAGCACTTTAGTAGCACTAGCTTGTCCAGGAAGAAAAAAGGTTCTCAAAAAATTAAGCTCTTCATTAAACGACTTCTGCCTTGCTGCTAAGTTTATTACTCTCAATCTTCCTGAAAAGATATCAAGAATTCGAGATAACTGTAGGCTTCAGGCAAGAATCTTAAACGACTTTTTTTGTGATATGAAGAAAGCATTTCGCAGCCCTTTCAAAAGAGCCCTTCTGACAAATAGCGGCGATAGTTACAGCTTGTTGCAGGCCACAAGCGAGGGATTGGGCATATCGAGAAGCTCATTTGGAGATGGCTCGAAGAGAAAAAGCAGGGTTACCATATATCAGCAAAGACTTGGTTCGACCAGACAAAATTGTTCTGCCATCGGATGAGGAACTTCAGAACTTCGAAATTATTATTTAGATGATTTCGGTATTGTAAATATGCTTTATTTTAGGAATGGTCTAATAGTTTGTTGCATTCAATTCGCCAAATTATGAAAATATTCAGTGAAACGAAATACTGTGGTCAAAGCATTTTTTAGAAAATGTCCATGGTAGGGATCCGTGTTCATCGGTAATGCACACATCTGATGCCTCTCATGGGATATTCTATCCCTGATTTTGTGTGAGAACATTAGATCAACAACGATTTTGATCACTCTATAAAATTTTGATTTCGAAATTGTAAAATTCTCGAATTGTCATATGGTAACTTACTGGTAACTTTTTTTTTCAAAATTTTGTTGACTGCATACCATTGTTCATATTAAAGTTAAATGTAATATGTATTTTACCAGTTGGTGGATACAAGAGCAAAGTATTATAGACTCGTGACTTATGTGTATATGATACGCAATATATTTAGTATTGGGAAAAGACTAAATGAATGATGACACTGTTGATTTAAATAAAGAAATGACAAAAAGCAGTTTCACCACTATCAGGACCACAGCATTATTTCGACAGAGAGGTCAATAGCATAAGAATCATCTCCAAGCTCTACGTTTGTTCGTTTGGCTTCTTTGCCTCATTTCTTCACGGACCTTATTCCTATTTATCGAGCTCGTCGTTGCTTTCAAGAATCCAGCTACAGAACAGTTTTTCATGAGCTTGCATTTAGTGAATATTTCCGAAATCCGCATTTAGATGAAGAGATTGATGAGCAATTCAAAAACAAAGTCATGAAAATAGAAAAGCCTCATGGAACTTGCCTCTTTCGAAAGCTGGTTTTCGATTGATGGCGAGTTGGGCGGCTAATTTCGACAGTTCCAATTTAATCGATTTGTCATTTGCTGTCGTTAATAACCCTTCTGGGTACTTGCATCTCCAGCTGTCCAAATCTTGAAAATAGGCAAAATTCCATGAGGAAGAAGGGAAGTTAAACTTTTTCATGTTGAGACATTTTGCTGCCCCCACGTCTTATTTACTCAAATTACCTTCAAAACTGTTTTTCATGGCTTTTCGTCGTGCCAAGAAATGCTGCAGATATTGTACCTCCTTTTAATAGAACTGCATTGTGTCCCCTATCACGAAACGTTGACACAACTTGTCCAGCTCCATAAATCTGACCACAGACAGTCAGTGTTCCCTGCGTACCTACTCTCTTCATTGACTCTGTTTCGTAATGTTCACGGCACAGAAGGAATCGTGGATAGTGTTCAGCTGTAAATTTTCAAAATTATTTTTTCAAATTGTGTTTTTTTGGCAGCTGAAATGCATGCTAAATAACCTCCGATAATATGTCCTTTAACGAATTGTTCTTCTGGCCGAACATCTAGAATGACAAGTGGTTTAGTTGCTAGTGCCTTCTCATCAATCAATATAGCAACCTGCAAATACTCTTCAATGAACAAGGAAAAGATCTCTGGCATATGCTGATCTTTATAATTTCGGTGCCGAAATATGAGAAGATCGTACAACTTGTCATGAGCTGGCGTTTCAAGGAATTGTTGCTTTCAATTTTGTGTAAACTTACGACTCTATCGATCGAAACAGTAGGTAACGGTACAGCAATAAACATGAGTGCAAGAGGAGACAGCAGCCTAGAAGAATTGAGCTCTACTTGGAGAGTCGTTGTCCTGGTAACGACTTTTCGTGCAATCTTGTTAGTCTCAGTTCCTTTACTCTTCATAAATTTGTATGTGATGAGAAATTGTTTCTCAGAAATTTTTCCTTCTTCTGACCAAATATCCAGTTCGATAAATGGTTTCCTTGGGAAATAGCTTTGGTACAAATTTCGTATGCCCGCAATAGGAAGTATTGAAGAATTTCTAAAAGTTTTCGATGGGAATAATGTTTTGAAAGTCAGGTTTTTCATAATTAAAAAATTCTCAAATTGATTATTTCACTATATACTATACAATCACTATACAACGCATGTCCTAAATCAAATACGTTCAAATAACTTCCCATGTTCAAAAACGGGTTTTATTTCTTGCGTACGATGGAAGTGTAATACAATCGATTACAATGCCTTTTATCATTTAGTGAAAGGTGTAGTCGAAAATATGATTTTAAAAGCGTCGAAATTACATACTCATCAATTATAATGAAGTTTAAAAACACGGAAGATGACTTCATCCTGAATCATTGACAGCAACAAGAGAGCCATCTGCATAGCGCGCACTGCGCAATGTAACTGCAACCATTTACCACATGTTGATAAAAACTGATCAATTTTTAGAAAAAAAGATTTCAAATAATTTCCCATGTTCAAAGACCGGTTCTACTTATTGTTGTTAATAATTTTCTAAAAGATATTTACTGAAATCTCTTCAAATTATCGCACTATTTAACCCTTGTTGAAGTGTTGAAAAGTTATTAACAATAAAATTTTACAATTCAAGACTTACCGTTAAAAATACAAAGAAATAAACAAGTATCGTAGGAAGAAGAAAAAGTAATATGATAAAGAATAAAGTAGCTATGAACAGCTGCCTCGTGTCCAGTTTTATTGAATCAACCCTTTGACGTAATGGATTATATTTCCGACCACGAAACAACCTCCAAAGTGATTTTATTGACATCACTGACAATGCAGCTAGCCTGCAAGAGTGACAAGCTCTTTGACGAAAATGCTCACTTTCAAGCATTGTACAAAATAAATAATGTCACTTGCTTGAAAGCGTAGATGTGAAAGCAGTATATATGCACGGTAAGTAGCCGAAGGAGATCAGATAAAGCAGCGAAAAAAACGGATAAACCGAAAAAACAAGATAATGATATGAAACCAAATCCAATGTAAACACTTGCCACTGATAAATAAGCTGAAAAAAAATGTTCCGATCGATCTTAATACTTTATTTATAATCTGTTTTTTGCATATTGGACTAAGTGGAATATGATCAAATTAAATGTGATTATAAACTACAGCAGGGCTCGTAGATAATGCTAATGTCACAAAATTAAAAACTGAAAATTTCTATAGCTATGCACAAATCATTCAGACGCAAATCGAATTATTCAGCACCGTACAAATTAAGACTTCAACCACTGATGTTTGATGCAACCATTCATCAATTTCCATTTATACAAGTCTTTACCTGCTTCAGGTCATCCGAAAATCGTACTATTTTTTGAACTTGATGATCCCTGTAGTATATTTCGAATTTCTAAGATTGCACATATTGAGATACAAATAAAAAATACTTCTTCCGACTTTGTTAGTACCAATTACAACTTACTTTGCCATAAATAGATATGATAAACAAAGAACTGCGATAATATAGCGTTCAAATGAGCATTTAATTTCAAGCCAGCAGGATATGTCGTGAGCCAGTGTATTAGCTAGAAACTGGCCATATTATTAAAATAATTCAGAATTTTCATTCTATTTTTCGCACCAGTATTCCGCAACTTCAATAGACTAAGATCTAAATGAAAATACAACCTCCTCTAAATTAGTGATCATCATAGCAAGTCCATCCCAAATATAACCAGAAAAAAAATCGACTTCCGTCAGCTCTTTCCATATGACCACACCAAGGATAGTATCCAGAATTTGACGCTGTGCCCTAAAGAATTTTTCACGCTGTATGTCAACATAGCCCATTTAGATTAGTCCGGAAAATTTACAAAAAAACCGACCGATATGAACCTTTCCACTTGCACTGCAGTCTGGACATAACCGCGGAATATTTTGCAAGTGATGAAATAAGAACAGATAACTGATAAAGCAGATCAGACATTGTTGCAAACTCCTTTTTTGTTCAACGGTACCCTGTTCCGCGAAGTTCATTAACCGCTTCAAATCTTGATTTCCTAAAACAATCAGTAACAGCGAAAAGTCACTGCAGGGTATCAATACCTTATCATCAGGTAAAACTATAGTATTATGCTGAGCCTGTTCCAATTATCATGACTTCCAAACTTCACCTCGTTTCTTCACATACCCATATAGTATTGCTAAGCTGCCAAATCCATGAAGATCACGTCAAAACAGTTTTCATACATAAATTATTCACTTTTCAAAAGTAATTATATCGTAAACCTCATTCAATAATTAACTTTTTACAATTCTTTTTCGTGTTATTATAAAATAACACTGGACGTAAAGTTCCACCACTAAGAATCAAATTTCTATTTTCCCACCATTTAATGTATAGAATATTTTTATATACACTTCTGTTACAAACAAAACAAATCACACTAGGAGACTAGTGGATAAGAGTCACATGTTTACTGTAGGTAACAAAATTTACAAAAATTTGGATCACAGATGGTACAAACACAATTTTAGAACATATGAAGTAGCATGAACTTACTATTACAACATTGGTATGCTTTTCACTCATAATAAACTGAAATGTTTCATGGTAGTCAAACTTTTATAGGATGTAGCATTAATTACAACACTTTTCATCTACCAGAAAAGAAATATAAATCACAAGTGTTGGGAAATAAAGGTAAAATTCTTGCTTAAGGGAGTTACTGCAATTTTTAACAACGTCCAATTCTTCTCTTGCACTGATTCTGGCATTCCGAATGGTGATGGGGAAGGAGTTTAAATTCTCTTTTCATACTACTATAAATAAACGACTGCGTAGCCTCTAATGTACTAGTCATGACGACACATAGAATTAACCTTTCCATAAACCTATAAAATTGAATACTAACTCGAATTCTGTATTTCTAATAAAAAATATTTAAGAATGTTACAAAAGCATACTCATACAAGAATCAAGAATAGATAAAATTACAATATTCTTGTATTCAAAAAGAGTCAAGATAATTAGCAGATCTGACATCCAGCAGGAATGCAGTGCATAAAAATGTATTTCACAAGTAAGCAGGAATAATAAGTAAAAAACACTGACCTATAAAAGCAAGTTTCTCAGTCACAATCATAAGTTTCAGAATTAACATCATAATCCAATTTCGGTACAATAGTATCAGCAATATGCGATACGACAGCGCAGAAAATATCAGCAAAATAATTCGGATAGAAAGTGAGACCGATCGTCTAACCTTTGTATAATACGATCTTACGTTTTGGAGCGCGTATTTGCACAGCATCTCAATCGCATATTCGAAAAACAAGAGGTTCCGTCATGTTTACGGTATCTGTCACACACTTAATATCTACGTCAAAAATAACCAACATGAACAAAAAGACTCCTATTAACGTAATACATCCGTATTAACACAGACATTAGAACAACAACAGTAATCTGAAATTGACAAATGGTCTATCAGTTAAAACCATTAAACTATGAAGATAAAATCCAGTAATTCATTCACTTGGCCAATCATTAATCATCGTAAAATTGATGGTGCACTTGTATTGTTCGATCTTTATTTCTATCGCCTCTATTGAAGCAAGCAAAATATCAGCGAAAAATTCCGCTGAAGCTGACGTTACTAAATAGAGAAATGATAGCTATGCAAAGGTAATTTTCAAAAATGCAGCAAGGGCTAGTAATAATGTCCAAATAGAACACCACCTTGATTATGAAAGACCAAAATAAATATATTTAGATGCTATAGACAACTAACTTATTTTAGCTTATTTAAAGAAAAATGAATTCAACAAAAATACTGAAAAATAAACCTTCTCAATGAACTCTGGATAACACGATCTCAACATCTCGAAAATTTAATTTTTCAAGCCCTGCAATTAGTAACTACAGCACATAAGAGTATAAGCTTTTTCCAAAACTTGGGAATCTCCCTTGATCGTTCCAAAACCATAGATAATGCCATGATACTTCATCGGGTTTATTTGCAAAAAACAAAAATCATAGTTGTGCTATAATTCAGATACGCATAATCATGAAAGCGAATGAAGAGTACGACCAATTTTGGTGTAACAAGTTAGTATGTAACAAGTTTAAGATTCCATGGGCAATGGTCTCTATAATCTCCTCTTTCAATTTGAAAGGGAAGTAAGAACAGAGGACGGCTCAAAAATATCAGAAGGCCGAACATGATGCAGCTTCACACCCATGCTTTAAAATACATGTTTTACAAAGGAAAAAAGGATATTCCAGTTAATCAAATATGTATGGCTGATTGATTCTTATTTTCCGAAAGGGCAGAATTCGAACTTGAGCAGAAAATATGTTAAGATCGACCAATGCTACATTTGCGCATGTAAAAAAAAAGAGTTTTGTGAATAAGGACAACTGCAGAGATACGGATAAAGCCATAGCAGCCCAAAATGAGATTATTCAACACTTGACATATATTTTTGTATCGTGCTGACTTGAATCATGCATTTGATGAAATCCATCTGAAGGATCGCATATGAGTGCCACTGCAGTACGAAACAATGTCACCAAGTCCATAAAGAATAAAGAAATGCGAAGACACATACGCGACTCCACTAGGTGCGGTTGTAAAAGAAATTTCGTTTTCTAAAGAAAAAAAAAGAAAAAAAAAACCAGAATGTGCTTATTATCGCTTGTCATAGATTTATATACCCCATTTCTTGGCCTTTTCAACAAAATGTCCGAATTAACAATCACAATGTTCAGCACGGACAATCTCGGATGCATTAGCTATGTGTCTCTGCAAATTTTAACTGTCTTCCTAGTGCCGGTTGCAACGAATAACAAAATCCTGCAATAAAAATCAACATTAACTTCAGATATTGACTTTAAGGGAAAGCAAGAAGGTAATTCCGAGGTTCCAGGGTGATTTCGAAACTATAAGGTAGGTCCATTATTCACAAATCCAAACTATCACCAGCAATATTCTTACACATGCCACTACACCGTAGGACACATGTAAATATTGATAAATGAATGTTTACAGATCCATTGTAAAGGTGTGAATATGTACAATCAATAATCCCACCACAAACTCCCAGGAACTTGTCGAATTATTTAACTTTTGACACCCTTCTCCGGAACTTTTATCCATTATACCATCAAAATACTTTCAACTAAATCACCAGTTCACATCTGATTATGAAAGACTGTTTTATGTGCGACTCTACGAGATATAACATAAGTATCATACCCATTAAAGAAAACAATCGAAAATTATAATCAAAGGATAAACTCCGATGACCCATACCCAAAAGAGAAAACGTCAGCTGACTTATAACTTACAAGGAACTTCTCATTTAAAGGAAACAACTGCAATCACCGAGCATTTTCAATATTAAGCAGTTGATGTTCACTCTGCAAGGAGTGGAAAAAAAGAAGTCACTAAATGCGACATAGTTTACTGTCTGTCAGCATTGTAGATCCACTGCCCAATATTCGATATAATCTGATACCGTAAGCCTTATTTCACATTTCAACAATTTGAGAAAGAACTTTATGTTTGTGCCGGCGATAATGGTTGAAAGAGTTAAGAAGAACGAAGACCTAAAGAATGAAGTGAAATTATTTAAACTGAGTTTATATAACTAATGAATATGCAGTGGAAGCTTTATAAATTTCACTGCTATCATTAACGTGCACAAATTCGAATTCTGAAAAACAATTTATCACACCTACTTCAGCAGATTAATATTGAAGTTAATTTTGCACAAGAGAGTTACATAAACCATATCAAATACACAGTTATCAAAAAAACCTAACTAATAATTGAATATAAAGAAAAAAAATCCAATTATGTATAGCCAGAGAACGGTAACATTACTTAGGAACATGTCTATAATTTTCCAGCTGCTTCCAGCTTTTTGCGTAACGAAAGCGGCATTTCTGGTGGTGGTGGACGTGGCAATTTAAAATACACTTTCACGGAATCATAGATAAACCACTGTAATGCCGTAAGTGTTCCTATCATTATAATGCGAGGTAAAAGTCCTTTCCAGAGACCTGCAAATAATAGCCGCTCTTCCATTCATTTTGCGGAATATCTATGATTTCAGCATTTACTGTCTTGAAAGATTTAAAAAGTTTTAAGTATAAGTCCCTTAAAATACCATCTAATAACGTTCAATGACAGAGCACATTTAACTTACCCATGAAACCCAATTTTCTAGCGACTGCACCCGCGGAAGAGCCAGAGTCTTGGTTTAGTTTGCTAACAATTGTGTCCGCTGGATGAGAAACAATGGCACAGAACACACCAGCAATATATCCCGCCACAAACGTGACTACCAACTGTTCTTGCTTCGTGCACTCGGAACGTGGTTTGGGCACCACATACTTGTATAATACTTCCACTGTACGTTCAAAACAGGCAAATTTCATCATGGTGTAAGGTATTTGGCGCATCCAAAGTGGTGGAAGACCTGAAAAGCATTCGAGTGTTACTAGAGTAAAGAATATGCTGGGATTTGCATAGATAACTTTTCACTTCAATTCTTTTAACCGCCGTCTTTTGCCTATTTCCCAAAATCAAATATATAAAGACTTTAGCAAATACCATCGCCTTACAAAATCAAGTGATAATCTTGCCTTTGTAAAAGCCTGTCATTCCTTCATTTCTGTATATCATTGGTGTACAACCTCGAAGCGTTGGCGGAGCACCTACAGATGTCTGCACGCGAACCTTCGTAGCTTCCATTGGTGCCAATAACATATCGGCGAAAAATTCTGCAGACGCAGATGCACCCAAATACAAACTTGTACGCCACTGATATGACAATTCCTAAAGAGCAAAACATAAATATAAAACATGAATATCACCAGGAAGTCTTCCCGAAAATTCAGAATTGTCTTAAAGTTTCCAAAAAATCAATCCACTCGAATGTATCTAATATAGCATATAACATGAATGAAATTTGCTGAAGAAAAGCAAAAATCATACCTCACCCAGCATATCACTATAGAAAATCTTAAACATCTCGTAAAAACCGAATTTTCCCAGTCCTTGGAGAGAATAACCAACTAATGTTGGTGCCCATCCCTTCGCCAAAGCACGAAATCCTTCTTCTTCCACTGTAATCCGGAAGCCTTGTATAATTCCTTTATATTTTTCAGGATTTACCTGAAAATTTGCGTCAGCTCAACACGAAACCATTTATACAAACTGCGAAATACAGTGGAGTAATCCTACAATTTATGTAAACCATTTAAATCCGATACCTGTATTCGACATTTGACAAGATCAAGTGGGACAATAGCTGTATGTGTAATACCACATGAGATTACCCCACCCAGACCACATAAGAGGAAATATTTAATAGAACCAAATTCCACTTCACCATCAGATTTACCTGTAAGTTGGAATCAATACGCAGTTGGAAAATACAGAAGAAACAAAAAAAATATTAGTACAGTAATTTACATGCTAAATTTCAGAAATTGAGCGCTAGAGTGCTGCAAGCACCAGCTGTGTGGAAGTAAATTTACTTTTCTAAACTAAAACTTTTGAACAATTTTCGAAAAAAGAATTGCAAAAATCCTACGTTCAAAGCAATTTTTTAACAGCTTAGTGCACATAATCCGGACGCATGGCCACTGGCATATGAGATATTACAACAACTGTACGACACCAACAGTAATGCGAATGAACAAAAACAAAGGAAAACCCAGCACATTAATATAACTATTGGCGACATTAGCATGCACTTATCCTGCACTTGTGCACACAATGCCAAAAAGTAAAAATCGGAAAAGGTTTTCCCAAATTCTGGATAACGTTTTCCATTTAGTACAACCATATACAACCACTGTTTAAAAAACAGCAACATTAACTACTGCGAAAAGGAAACAAAAAAAAGAGTATACATACGGATGAATGTTAAAGAACAACGAAATGATTAAAGTACTGATAAATTATACATTAAATTTAAAAAACTACTTGTTGCGCAATCATTATTACAACACTTCATAAGTGAAACATGCGTCGCAATGCCCTGTTCTATTTCCTCAGTTTCCACACCACTGTTATCAGCACTGGTGCAATTACACTCACGATATTATCCTATTTCATTTTTCTTCCAATATTATCTACAGTGCCAAACATATCTACCTGATTGCTTAACTGACACAAGCTTGCTGACATCAACATTATCGACTGCACTTCGTACGCTACTCCTCTCATAAAATTTACAAAGCAAACCATATTAACAATTTTCCTTGGCGTAGAAAAGTATTGCCAATAAAAAGCATACCAACGCTGCCGCCTACAGAGCCACAAAACAGATTGCGTATTGGTAAATACGGTAATAGCGAAAATTTAGCTCCAGCTGACCGTTCCAAGAAATCGTTACCACTAGTCAATGCCATTTATACCTTAATTAATTAGTTGCATAATTTTTTTCGAATTAAAGACAGTGGTTCGATAGTGAAGTCTCGCAATCAGTGAGTACTTATGATATGTTGAACATCTCAACTAATTTAGAAATATTCTATGATCCTACAGCAAATGGAATCAAAATTATTTGGAGAAAAGTAATGCCCTAATTTGAAAATCCTGATTTGTTTTCAGCAATTTTTGCCAACAAACCTGCGTAAAAAAATCAAAAAAGTCCGGAATAATGGAACCAGATTGACTGAAAATGGATATAGAATTAATTGTCCCGTCAAAATTCCTGCAAGAAAATAGGGTGTAAGACTGCGTTCTAAACAGAATGCAGCAGGATCCAGACACCAAACTACAGCACTTCCCATCACCTTCCACAAAACTCATAAACACACTCAGACAAAAAGCATCCCATGTTCTCACCACCGTACCCATTCACTACCTCAATACTTCATGCCAAACATTTCAAGTATCGCACCAGCTCATGAAGCACAATTGTGCAGACAAACATTCTTAATAGGTTGGTATTTGAATTGCCTTTTCTCGGGTATCTTTTCATTCCTACACATCGGCGGGAAGAGGTATGGTCTGATATGATTTATGTGATTTTCTCCGTGTTTGTCGTTATTTCTGCTCCACGATTAAGTCCCTTCACTCTTGGAGAGTATTTATTCTACTGCGGTTGCATTTAATTTCCAGATTCGAACGTTTCACTTTCACTCGGCCACCTTTCTCTTCTGTTCCTCTCTTCCGCCGTCCTGTTCCTCTCTCTCCATTCCCTCGGAAAAAGGAGGAAGAGATAGGAACAGGGCTGTGGAGGATAGCTAAAAATTTACAGGATCTCATCAGTTCCTATTCCCGAATGACTTCTGTTTGAAATACCATAACCAAAAATAAGCATTGGTCTTTCGGTAGATTTATTAATTACTTGCTTAGTTGCGGTAGGAACATTCAATTCAATTAATATTGGAAATTGGCGTGTCAAAAACAAATACTGCCAAGTGAGTTCACGCATTTCCTCTTCTTCCTGCCTCGCGGGACTCATTTCTTCGGCAGAGGATTCGATGAGATGGTGATTTTATAAGCTTAAAATACTCCAATGAGAAAAATGGGGTGTTTAAATTACTGTCTGCCTGTTCGTTTCTATCTTGGATAAACTTACTGTAATTTGTATCATTTCACCTTTCTGGATATCAGTGGAAAAGAAAAAGATACATGAAATGATTGTTGCATTCATTTTTTTCCTTAAATTTCAGATTCGAATCAAGTTTTTTGCTTGAGTACAGCATTGGTAGTACAGGAAGCCATGCGTGAAGATCGGTCAAAAGCAATGGCCATATTTGGCAAACACGATTATTTGTTGCGCTTCTGGAACGACCTCACACCGGAGGAGCGACAGCAATTAGTGGATCAGTTTACGTTGTATAACATGCACGAAATAGACAAAGCATTCAAGGAATCTGGAATTCCAATGGTATGTCAACAATTGCTGACGTTCTGAGTTTTCCATTTTTCTAATTTATTATACTAAGCTGTGATTGTGAGTTGTTCCGGCGTTTCAGTATTACAAAAGATATCTTCGAATATCTTGAAGTTTCTAGTTCTTTACAGAAGTTGGAAAGCTTGGAACCAATCTCTGGCGATCACTATTCTGTTGCAGATGATATTGATGAAAATATTATGAAGGAGTACTGGAATACAGGTATTAGTATAGTGTACTAAACTCCTTTTACTGTGCATGCTAGCAGTTGTTGTTGCAGTTAAGATAACGGCTATTTGAAATGGTTCTAATATCTTTTATTTCAATCTTTCTTGTTGTATAATTTTGAATTGGTTTGGATTTTCGAAACTGATCACTCATCTGCTGAATACGTATTGTTTAACAATGCTTAGGTTTGGAAGCAATAGCAAAAGGAGAAGTTGCTGCTGTAGTTTTGGCAGGCGGTCAAGCAACGCGGCTCGGATCGACGGTGCCGAAGGGTACCCTTTCCCTGGGATTCACCGAGTGTGACATGACTGATTCACTCTTTGCCATTCAGTCGGCTCGTATTTCACGTCTGCAAGACCTTGCTCGAGTGGCATTTCCGAATTCAAAGCCCAAGATCTGGTGGTATGGTTTTCCTAAAAATAAAATCTCTTCTCAGTTCTGATCATTCTGGGCAACCTGTAATTAGAAATGTTTTATCACCAATATAATGTTTTTATACTAAAAATTGCAAGCATAGTTAATCCAGATTATGTATTCGTGGTTCGTGTCATATTCTTTATGAGTTGCTTATATTGGGTTTTGTATGAAAATTATTACTATAAATCAAATAAATAGGATTGTGTTGACGAGTTCGGCTACCGCAGAGGCAACGCTGAAACATCTCCGTGATGTGCTTCCAGTAGCTATGATTGATCCAGGACAACTTACGGTGCTTGCGCAACGATCAATTCCGTGCTACGACATAAATGGTGGCTTATTTTTGTCTTCGAAGAGCAGTTTCGAGGTTTCTCCAAGTGAGCATTCTTATTGCTTCACCCGATATATCATGAAGATGATTTAAATGAATCTTGCTAAAATTTATTTCAGATGGGAATGGTGGCCTTTATGAATGTTTGGAAGCTCATTGTACTTCCTCTGTAAATAATCAGATCAAGTACTTTCATGTTTTTGGTGTTGACAATGTTTTGTGTCGTGTGGCTGATCCTCATTTTATCGGATATTGTATCAAAAACAATGTAGATTGTGCGGCAAAAGTAGGAATATTACATTAATGCAGTTTGAATATCCTTACTACCGATAATTTAATCAAGCACCGATAGCACTTTAGAAATTTGGATCCGTATGGCTTTATTTTGGAAATCGTTCTAGGTTGTAGAAAAAACTGATCCCTTTGAACGAGTTGGTGTGATATGTCAAACATTGGATGGTGTTCAAGTTGTTGAATACTCAGATTTATCCGCAGAACTAGCTTTAGCTCGTGATGATTCTGGACGCCTCAAATTCCGCGCAGGAAATATTGCAAGTCATTTCTTCACTTGTGACTTTGTTCACGCAGGTTTGTGAAAAAGTACCCTTTAATTGATTGAAAAGATGGCTATTGTATACGGGATAGAAATATGGATCGTTTTGAAGAATGTGATGTAGGAGGTGCAGGTTTGAGATTGTTGTGTTCGACATACTGTCGCACCTCAACAGCATGAAGAACGAAACAGTGTGTGTGGTAATAGAATGGGAAATCAAACTTTATCTACATTTTCACTTAGTCATTTGTCTGTGTTCGTTTTTTGATTAGTTTTAGTTTGGAATTCCCAAATAATCTGAAATACTTATGCCTTCCTTTTCTCACTTGAGAAGGACAAAAATCACTTTTTGAATTAGATTTGCTTTCATTAACTAAATTTGCCTAATATATAAATTTTGTTTTTCAGCAGCTAATTATAAATTACCTCTTCATCGTGCCTTCAAAAAAATTCCATTTGTTGATCGAATGACAGGAATCTTAGTAAAACCAGAGACAGAAAATGGCTACAAACTCGAGTTTTTTATTTTTGATGCTTTCAAATGTGCCAAGTAAGTTTTTTCATACATTATTAGGATAACGGGGACCACCGAGAGTCATTCAGTGCAATGTGTCTGTTGAAGGTAGTGCGATTGCAAGCTGGAGTAGGCGTTACAGCCTTCGTACATAGTTGATGTTATTGGTCATCACTTCATTCCGTTCATCAGCCTCTCAATTACTCTTTCTGTGTCTCAAACGCATTGCCTCGGACTCCAAAATAAGGCATTATACCCTTCACTTATCTAGTTTCTGGAATATCCTGTTTTGTTGGGCTACCTCGGTTACCACCGAACTATATCACAGAATTTTCACACTTCCTTTTGTTATCGGTGCCAAACACTTGTTACTTTAATTTTTCCTTTCGCAATTCAATGCTAAGTTTTCATTGGTTGCAGAAATTTCCACGTATGGGAAGTTAAACGTTCAGAAGAGTTCAGTCCTTTGAAAAATGCAGAAAACGTAGGAAAGGACTGTATGAGCACATGCCGCCGTGATTATTATGCTGAATGCAAGCGTTGGCTTGTGAAAGCCAATGTTCCGATTCACATTGATCGTCCTATTTTCATTCATCCGCTCTACTCTTACTTTGGAGAGGTAAGTTGTTGCAATTATACAAATTACTGTATTCAATTTTTTTCTCTAGTTAACTATCAAATTTACATTTTTCGGATATTTAAGAACGTGTTTTATTTGATTTATTTAGAGATTTTGTGTGTTTGAACTGTTGTGGCAGTGAATTCGTTACTTATACCTGTTTTAGGATGTCTTTCTTTAGCTGTCGTAAAGCTGCATTAAGCTTACAGTAGCATTATCATTAAAAAGTTCACTGCATTGATAGAAGCATATCTTACGATTGCATAAGTTTTACATTTCCTTCATTTTATTACTGACCAATTCTTGGTATTTTTCTTTATGATTTGGGTTTTAGACCGTTTATCCTTTACTCGATTCTTTGCAATTTTTTTTTGGTATTTAATGGAATATAGTAACAGTTTTTTGCTTTATGAGATTAATAAATAATTTTTGTCGTTCAGTTGGTTGTTTTTTTTCAGGGGTTAGAAGAATATCGTGAAAGAGGCTTAGCTGGTGATCTGCTTCCATAGACACTCTTTTGGCTAGTGTTATTCGATCTCATCGGCTAACAGCTTCACTTCATTTTTTTTTGTTTTTCGATGGTACATGTTTTGTTTTTTCCTCAACTTTCATTATCATTTTTTTCTTTATTTTTTTTCAAACCAATTTTGTGGTGTTTTAGCACTTTTATTTTGAAATTCCGAAACGGTACTCATGTGTTTACGGTTTCCTTTATTGATATATGGTTCATCTTTCATTCAACCGTTGATCGCCTAGGTGTTAACTTTAGATTGTTGTGCTGTTTCTCCGTTTCTTCGTTAATCTTTGAATCATGAAATTGTGCCATTTTCTTCGTCGTTTAT